GGAACGGAGACGCTCCCGGATGAACTCCCGGATATTGACCTTGTGCAGAATGTCCATTTCATCCCAGGCGCGACGACGCTCGTTCTCGGGCGGCTCGTGCTCGTCGCCGGCGGCCGTCTGAGCGTTGTTCCAGTAAATGAGGTAGTCGCCGCCGCGGGGGTCATCAGGGTTCGCGCCACCGGCATCTTCGGAGAGCTCGGTTACGATGTCGGTCCACATGGTCATGTAGGACTGGAGGTTGTCGAGGAGGTAAGTCGGGGGCTGGGAATCGGGCCCATTCAGGGTGAGAAGTTGGGTGAGGGCGAGGGCGTGGAGTTTTTTCTGGGTGCTGCTACCGATGTTGTCGTAGTGGAGAAACCACTCCGCCAAGATCCAGTTGAGGGCTTGCTCCTCTGAAGTGTTGGTGGCAGAGGCCACGGCGGAAGTAAAGATCTTGGGGTGGGCCACGGCGAGGCGTGCAAGGACAGAGAAATAGTCCGTCTCCACAACCCCATAGACGGAGGTCTGTTTGCGGTTGGGTCCCGTGCTTTGACTGGCCTCGTAGGCAGAGTGAAGTCCCTCCAGGAGGGCAGGAAGGAAGGAACTGTCGAGGAGGGAACGGGTGATCACGTTGTAGGTGCTCTCGCTACCGCCATCTACCGCTTCGGCGCCACGGAGCATCAGTTCCACGAGACGGGGTACAACGCCCAACCGCTGGCGAGTGGTGATTTTCAGAAGGGTCTCGAGGGAGACGAGTAGTGGGAAGCGAATCCGATCGCTGAGAATCTCCTGAGGGGCGAGGATAATGTAGGATTCAACAATCTGGAGGGCTTGTGGGGCGCTATCCGTGGCTGCCTCCATGATGGGCATAAGGGCTGGAATGAGGGACAAGATCTCTGGAGAAGCCGGGGAGGGTGTTTGCATGAGGATCGCAGACCAGAGGTCGAGGGCTTCGTCGAGAAGGTAAATGAGAGTCTCCTGTATGACCATGAGCATTGAAAACTGGCTCAGTGGGGTTGAAAACTTACAGAGCCTGGCTCGACAGAGTTCTGAATTAGAGGCAAGATGATTGAGTGATATCGAACTGAGTCTTGCTTGAGGGAATGGATGAGAGACGAGAGAAGAGTGAGGATGGCTTGCTTCATTAGGTGTTCTTCTCCAGAGCTCTCCCAAAGAGGTGGCAGCAAAGACAGAATTTGGTCCGAGAAGGGAGCAATCTGGGTAAGGTCAGAATTGATTGCTGTTTACTTGAACCTGTTGATGCACTTACATGATCTTCCATCTTGACCACAGCCATACGAACAGTATCGAGTAGGCCCATCCTAGTCTCTGAGAGCTCCACTTCTTGAACAAGAGACATCAGGTCTTGGAGGATCGACGGAGCATATGGCAAGAATTCAGTTGGTGAGAACTCAAAAGGATCGAGCACGTTCTTCAGCTGTCTACCAGCACTGATGCGTACAACAAGGTCATTCAACGGGTCTTTCCGACTGAGCAGATGCTGAAATATTTGATACACGGCATTTCGGTTGAGCTCGCTCGCCTTTACTGGAACCCACTGACCCAGGAGAATAGCGATCCTTCTTCGAAGAAGATTGTAGCCTTGCTCTTGTAGTTGAACTTCCGGCACGAGTGTGGCCTCGAGGAAGTTGTTGAAGTCCAGGTGCTGTTCTAGACTTGCTGCAGATAGTCCAATGGCCGAGTATAGCGAATCTTTCAACAGCACATCGTGGTTGTCGGGACCTATAACAGATCATTAGAATAGCACCGGTGGCAAAAGGTTTGACTGCTTACTTGCGAAGCCGTAGAAGACGTGCAGCAAGCGGGGGATGAGCAACTCCTTGAAGTGAATGACAAGATCAAGGAAGAGCTTTTCCGAGCAAGACCGGATGGAAAACTCCCACGCCTCCGCGATATCCTCTTCTTTTCTCTCCCATTCTTCTGGGTCTTCTTCCCATTCTTGAAAATCGTTCTTTCTGAAACGAAAGAATTGGGTAACCAAGAGTTCCATGACACTAACGACAAAGTCGTGCGTGAAAAGTTCGGCTTTGATGAGTTCCACAGATTGCTTCTTCTCTTCCTTGTCCTCTGCAGTTTGGTACTTGAATGTCTGCGCAGGATTGAATGCCATTTTCGAACAAGCTCTGATCAGAAGGAGCGCTCTCAGCCCGGTTTTTTCCATCAGTGTCTTGCCCTCCGATTCTCCGTCAGCTCCGAGCTCACTGTAGTGTTCGCCCAACTGAGTGACCAGAGTCCAATAGGCCTGAACAAGACGGATGCTGTCGGGTAGTAATGCAAAAGAGGCTGGTCGGTCCTTGGCCATCTCCACATGAAGCTTAGAGAGTTGCAAAAGATGCTTCTCGACTGCCCTTTTGAATGGATCTGAAATGGCTGCAGGGCCATTGACGAAGTTCAAGAACCTGCTGAAGTGGGCATGAGTGAGGACCCAGAATTCGCGAACGTCCTTATCCCGGTTAGGGTGTTCGAAGCCGGCAATAACCAGGCGTCGAATGACCTTAAGAGACACAAGGCTCTGTTCCATAGCCCCCAGCAGTGCTGTCTCATCAACGCCCCCTTGCTCCAACCAAGATACCCAGGTGTTCACCTTATCCACATATATGCCACCAAGCAGATGGAAGACCTCGGGTGCCACGGACTGGAGGTTGGCACGAGTCCTTTGTAAGCGAGCTGTTGACAGCTCTTTGATGATTTGCAGTAAAATGACGAGAGTTCGCGGTAATTGTAACGGGTTCGCGCCTGGCTGGGTGGAGGAGCGGAGGAAGGCGATGATCGAGGAGATTGCGTCAGGCCTGCAAGAACAATCAGCTAAAGGTAATAAGTCCAGTGCAGTGATGCGAGATCACATACCAGTCTTGAGGGAATTCGTAGCGCATTATCTTAGCTAGCATCAAGGCATTGTGAAGGGCGAGTAGAGGGGCAGGTTCCACGACACCAGCTTGTAGTGCCCTGAGCTTAATCTGTTCCTTCTCCTCCTTCTTGATGGCACTTTGCGAGTATGTCAGTCCTTGTATATGAAGTCAACGAGCTCAGGCGAGCCTACTTAGTAGCGGTCTTTCGCCAATACTTGTCGATGCCGTTCTTTAACTGGATGATGGCAAGGTATCGAACTTCCGATGGGACGGACTGATCTAGGAATACGTCCTGCGGTAATCAGAATTGATAATGGCAGCCGAGTCCGTGGGAGAAACTCACCTGAAGGTACGTGTAGTACATCTCCTGTTTCTCCCAGTTCTGGAGTTGTTGGGTGCCCGTCTGCACCTGCTGTTGGGTTGAGCTCGCGGCTAAGATCAGTGCATTGAGAACATTATGCGGTGTCAGCGGGTTGGCTTCCCCTGCCAACTCGATAATCGAAGCCATGTTGTGCGTGAGATGCTGTGTTGTCGGGTATAGAGCCGACTAGTCGAAGGTGGTGTATCGCACGCGTCGTACTGCGCAGCTTGGGGTACTCGGAAACTTAATTGCACAAGAGATGAATGGCGGCCAAGACTGGAACCCCAACGACTCGATGAAGCAAGTGATGCGGGTTTAGTTGAGTCCTGATGCCCTGCCCTGTAAGTATACAAGAATACTGGGACTGCGGGGGATGGGGAGAGAGAGACGGAATGTGTATTGTTAACAATGACAAGGAGCAACAAGCAGCAGAGAAGCTTCAGGCCCGGTCACCTGCCTGATTCATTGATTCGACTGCTAGCAATCTTTCGTCCCCGCCGAGGCGGGGACACTCCGGTCTATAGTAGATCCGCTCCGAGTAGCCCTAGGGTCGGACCCTGAGCACTAGGCTCAATCGGGATCAAGCTTCTTAGGGCTTGGAATCGCATGATATCATATAGTTGGTACCTACTTGCTACGTAACTTAGGTGACCGAGTCACATAGATCTAGAATCGAAGGCAAGCACCGTTACATACCTATGATGTCTTATGATGCAATTTCCTTCACACTCTCCATCAGAGATGTGTCCAAGAGGACATATATAAGCCATGAAAATGCTGGCTTGTCCTAATCATAAACATACCCTCGAACTCCCAGCTCGATTCTCATTGCAACAACCACTATATCCCTTTTGTTGAACATATTATCCATACCACCAAATCTCCATCAAAATGAACGACTACGACAAGGTTCGCGTGGCTTTCGACGCCGAGAAGGATTTGAACTCCTACCAGGCCAAGCAGGGCCTTGGTAAGAAGAGTGACTCCAGTATGTGAACCGTCCCGTCACCCAACCACGCCCCATGGCTCATTGCTGATGTGCCAAAGCATTGGAATCTGGTGTGGATGAGATGGTCGAGAGAAAGTTCGAAACTGGCATTAGAACCGGCCGAGAGGCTCATGCCACTGGAAGCAACCGTAAACCCATCCCTGAAGATGAGGGTGGCAGCCGTGACGACCGTGGCCGGTAAGAGAGGCATCCCTCCTTCTCATGTCCTTCACATGGAAGCTAATATTGTCCCTATTGTAGTCTTGCACCAGCTGAAGCGTTTGAGGGCCTTGGCGGTCCTGAGGATAAGGTGAAGCTCAACTCGGAGCGTCGTCCTGGCGACCAAGACACTCTGGACATTCAGGATTTGAAGCGTGCTGGTCTTGCTGAATAGGTCATCTAATGTACTATACCTGTAACGAATCAATCATGAGGCATGTGAAGATTATATCGACTTATCAACAAACCCTTGTCCATTTGATTGTAGCCTTCCGTGGATAGTGAATACTGGCTGCGACCGGTATCATAAGGGAAGAAAGTAAAGTTCAAGTCGGAGCGCCACGAAGTGTTTGAAAGCTGGTCACAGTTCATGACTGGCATGTCAATGTTTACCTGAGTTTGACCTAGGCTGGGTCAATTCTTCTGCTCCCGACATCTGTTGTGAATGTGATTCTCACCTAACTAACCCCACTTTACCTTGTGTTGCAACAGTTAGGTATAAAGGATGGAGTAAATTGCACCATGTCTGAGGCCGGAAAGTGTTCTTTATCATCAGATACTTCGTGTTACTTATAATCGCAACATGACTGGCCCTACAGAGGAGCCGACTTCAAGGCAGTTGTTCATCAATGGCAAGGTAGGGTCTAGCATCTTATGAAGATGATAAGACTTGCAAGCTGATATCACTCTCAACAGTTTGTGCCATCATCAAACGGAAAGGTCTTCGAGTTAACTAGCCCCTATACCAATGAGAAAGTGGCAGAGGGTAAGTGAGACGATGCAATTATACCGGAAGAACGCAACGTCTAACATGACATTATTGCTTTCCAGTCTGTGAAGCCAGTGAGGTAGACGTAGATGCTGCTGTTGCTGCGGCCAGGGCCGCATTCCCGGCATGGAGGGATCTCTCCCCAGCAGACAGAGGTGTCGTTCTGCGCAAGATTGCATCACTTATTCAGGATCATGAGGAAGAGTTTGCGCGCTTGGAAGCTTTGTCTACCGGGAAGCCAGTGTCTCGTTACGTCGATTCCAGTATGGCCATCGAGACATTCAATTATTTTGCGGAGGCTGGATGGACTGTTCAAGGATCATCCAGTAGAAACACGCCTGGTCACTTCAATATCACGGTGAAAGAACCGTACGGAGTCGTGGCAGCCATCATCCCTTGGAATGTACCACTCGCGTCCTTCGCCACGAAGATCGCACCGGCGGTGGCAGCTGGAAACACCATTGTTTTGAAAAGCAGCGAAAAGTCGCCTCTGACTGTAAGTTCCCTCTGAAAGGTCCACAGTTCACTGCCCGTCAGTCAATACTAACAATGGGATACCATGCAGATCGGCTTGGGAGCCAAGCTGATTGCCGAGGCCGGATTCCCACCCGGTGTTGTGAATATACTTCATGGATATGGCCCGACCACCGGCAATGCGATAGCCTCACACATGGACGTTCGCTGTATCAGCTTCACCGGCTCTAGCTTGACAGGACGGAAGATCCAAGCCGCTGCGGCCAAGTCCAATATGAAAACCGTACACATGGAGCTGGGGGGAAAGACCCCTGCCCTGATCTTCGAGGATGCGGACCTGGAATCTGCAGCTGAGCAGACTCAGTTCAGCGTGCAATTCTTCAGTGGACAAACCTGTATCGCCAACTCACGCATTTACGTACAAGAAACAGTAGCAGACAAATTCCTCGCTGTTTTCAAGGATAAATTTGGCGCTGCTATACTTGGAAACCCGTTGAATGAAGCAACAAATCAAGGACCGCAAGCTGATAGAACTCAGTATGAGCGAGTCAAAGCATACCTTTCTTTGGGAGAGAAGAAGGGTAAGTTGACACTCGGCGGTGATGCAAAGGATGGAAACTTCATCAAGCCCACTGTGTTCGAGGAGGTGCCGGAGGAGTCTCAGATCATGAAAGAGGAAATTTTCGGTCCTGTGGTAGTGATCAACACATTCGGGAAAGAAGAAGAGGCCATTGCAAGAGCCAATGATAGTGAATTCGGCTTGTATGCAGCCGTCTTCACCAAGAATATTGACCGGGCTCTGCGGGTATCGAAACTGCTTGAAGCCGGGACCGTTGGCGTTAACTGCACAAGTCCTTCCATGGCGAAAGATATGCCATTCGGAGGCTGGAAAGGCAGTGGCATCGGTCGTGAGGGCTATCTGCATAGCATGGATAGCTATCTGGATACCAAGTCCATTCTGGTCAAGACAGGCTAAGACAAGGATGGTCCGGACTGCTCGGTCTTCCTTCCTCTGGTCTGGACTTATTCCAGACTGACCTGCGCGATTCTGCTCGAAGTGAACTGATTCCGTAAGTTAGCAAATTGCAATGAGATACTATTTTTCGGTTTTTGCAGCCTCACAAGCTCAATAAGATTGTGTACAGGCCATAGCGGAAAGCTCAATGGCGTTCAGTGCATACTAAACATGTGGGAGATGACGGAAGACTATGGGTCCGGGCGATAATGAACGCTTCTGCACCTGGACCTCAACACCAAAGCAGAAATCGCACCTTATTATCTAGGTCTGAGTGCACTGGCCAAGGCATCAGAAGTAGGACACTGAGATGACTACCTTTCATCCAGTTTTGGAAGACAAGCTATACGAAGATAGCTAGTTAGCGAAGAGAACATTGTTGCACATACACAGCGCATCAAGAGCTCAAACCAAGCTGCTCCAAGCAAACCCCCATTCCTGAAGAGCCAATTCCCCTTGTTGATATCGCTGCAAGTGTACTCTTTTTATTTAGATTGGTTTTTGGTCATATACTAGAGAAATTGAAGCAATAATCATTACCTTTGTTATGTCTCATTATTCCCAGTCATAACGTACATTAAATGCTAACCCTAGTCATCCACCTTTTTTATGCGTAAGGATGAACCTTATATTCCTCTCCATCTCGATCCAGTCCAAGAGAATCGCACTTCACTCACAGAATGCTCATCAGCAGAGCCACAACGGCACCCGAAAGAGTGGCAACCCCAGGCAACATCATAGGGTTACCAGTGTTGGCAACAGCAGATGATGAAGCAGAAGAAGAGGTAGAGGAGTTGGAGCTGTTCTGCTTCCTGGTGGCGGTGACGTCGACATTATACTTGGATTTGGTGTCGTACGGGAAAGGGCTGGTGTAGTTGTAAGTAGGCTCAGTGTTGGCAAAGTTCTTCTTCACAATGTCAAGAATACCATGGCCAGCCGAGCAAGTACCATTAGTCAAAGGGACTGGCCACGCAGAAGAGTACTCCGAATAATCACTATCAGAGAGCGGGCCAGGGTAGGTCTCGTTAAGGTGGAGATTAGTGGTGTCAACATCGTAGTTAACGTAACCAGTCTTGTTGGCCACTATTTCGAGAATGTTGGCGCCACAGTCCCAGCGCCCAAGGGAAGGCAATCCCCAGTTGGCCGAGACGGATGCAATGACGGAGTAGTGGGTGTAGAAGGTGTCGTCCTTAGTGCCCTTTAGGTTGTCGGGAATCACACCACCCAACAAAATACTGAAGATTTTGTTTCCCTTGGGGTAGGTCTTGTCCTCATCAAAGGTGAGGAGCAACAAGGTATCGTTCATGAAGTAGGAGTTGTTCAGCAACGGAGGCACCCAGCTACGCTCCCACTGAGCAGCAAAGGTGATGTTTGTGTCGTGAGCGTCGTCAGTCATGTTGGGAGTGATAAAGGCCCACTGAGGTAGCTTCTTGTTGGCCAAGTCATCTTCAAAGCTGGTGAAGTTCTTGATCTGACGCAAGCGAGTGCTATTCTGGGCAATCGAGTCGAACAGAATCAAAGGGTTGTGCTTTCGCACGTAGTCATTGGCATAGGTGACTTGATTAGAGTAATTATACCCTTGGAAGCCAGGATAAGGGAGGTGCTCCTGATATTCACCCCAAGCAATGTTCTTCGTGTCCAGCAAATCAGCGACAGTAGAAACGTTGGCCGGAATTTGCTGGAAGTCATCGTTGTCCATGCCAAAGGTGTCGCCAGAGGCCGAGGCACAGTAATTTGGCTCGGAAGGATGGGTGACTGCGTAGAAATTGGTCCTATGTAGAGCACCGTGTTAGTGACGAACGTCCCGTTCTTCCATTATAGTACGGAAGTCACTCACAGTGTGATACCTTGCGAAGCCAGCCATTGCACGTTCTCGTCCGCAGCAGCATCCTCGTAGTCCTTCCCATGATGTCAGCAGAATTCATGGTGATAAGAATGGATCAGGCCCATACAATGTTCTCAAGCCAGATCTGATAGAAGCGATTGAAGACAAGACCCTCGACATTGGAGACGGGGGAGTATGGCTCGATTGTGGCCGCGGCCTTCTCGATCTCCGTTAGAGAAGGCTCAGAGACGTTGGCGAGCTGGGCGTACGCCACGGAAGCGGCTGCAAGCAAAGTGGCGGCGGAAGACTTCATTGTGACTTGATTTCCTCCAAGACGAAGTATCTTGACGATCACCAAGGAAAGGGTGGTAGATGAGAGAATGATCAGCGCTCAGTCAAAACATTGGGGAAGGACTTCTAGTCGTATATTTATAGGCTTCGGCAAGAGAGAAGCAGTGCATGTCTCCGAGCCACGCGAGACCATGTGCCCTGACCACGGGTTAGTACATAGAATGAGGTTCCACAGAGCGGATAGTTGGCCAGGGACCGTACTGCACGTTGAAGCTGAAATGGACCACGCGGATCAGGAAAGACCTTCTATTCGACAGTTTGCATTCTGGCCTATCCTTGTTCAATCCTGGTCTAATCGGCAGCTGGGGTGACATCGTTCGACCTCACTGCACCTTTCTCGCTTCCAGAACAGCAGAACAGACAAAGTGGGTAAGGAACATGGATTCTCCAATAATTCCCTTGACCACGTTCCTCGAAGATGGAGAAGGCACACCTGAGATTATGCTCGGATTGTATAGGGCCACCTGGGTTGCCCCACGGGCTAATCCCCGATCGGTTCTAGTGAGCCCCTAACAGTGGGGTAACAACTGATAATAAGGGCGGGCTTCCGTAGCACGTGCGCCTGTCGCTGGTTCTGTGAGGACCCTTGAATGCAGGGCAGCAGGACATCCATCGGGATAGCTGCATCCTGCCCGCTTCTATCACTGCACCTCCTAGGATGCTAGACTACCTAAGGTGCTCACAGGGTCATTTGCGCCATATTTTCATCCAGCTCTGAGTCGAGTTTCTTCCAACAACTGACCATGAGCCTAAAATTGACCAATTACCTTTGCTATAAATGTAAGTAGAGTACCTAATAGCAATACTGAAAGCCAGATTTGATGAGAGTTCTAGCTCTCGCCGGTCAGCTTCGGAATAAGATCTTGGCTACAAGGTTGGCTGCATCTCCAAGCCGGGCTCCAGGCCGGGCTCCTACCTTTCGACCATCTGCCCCAATTCAAGGCATTATGCTCCGCAATCTTTCAGGTGAACAGTTGCGATGAGCCCTGGACCATGTTATCTCATCTGCGAAGCAGTAATACTTGATTACCTGAAGCACCGGATTTTCAGTATCATAGTGGCAGAACTTCAGGCGCATTGTTCTCGGCCAGTCTAGCACATTGATCACCTTCGACACTCAAGACAGCCTTATTCGATGAAATGCAAAGGGGTGCAAACTCTATGCAATCTTCGGTCGAGAACCACGTCCTCGCAATCTGGACGAATGACACGCATAGCCTTGACCCCTCAAGTGCCCCTGGACGTAGCATTGGTTGGACTCGGCGCTCCAAGTTTGGCTGGGAAAAATACCCCATACATTCATCGCACTTATTGGACAGCTGCATGCATATTATTTCTATGCCGTGCGGCTGGATAAGGGTTCTACGGCGCAGGAGAAGGTATTGTAGGGCTGGGGTTGTTGGCTAGCTAACTATATATTGTAGACATGAACAAGATTGAAACAATTTCACCATAAGGAAACTATTCTAGATATCGCCTTTGCAGGACTCAGGGTTTTGCCCAAAAATTGGACCCCACCGGTCAGTCGCATCTGATCCCTTATGTATTGTATATTTATTCAATGTTATCGCTGTAGCAGAGGTATGGGTGCATTTAAGAGTGACTGAGACATCAAACGTAGATACTGAGAGATTCCAGACCCTCATAGCGCTGGATCCATGAGGATCAGTTTCAGTCAAAGGGAAAATAGATGAAGATCTGTTGTCTACCTACATATTTGTAGCACTCTATTGTCGAGTTGACAGAGCCGATGACAATTGCTTATCTTTCCATTGATGTCACGTGTATCGTGTCCAACCTCGGCAGTTTCCCTTCCGGTCGGGGGTGCCGAGCGAACGAGCAATCAGCCTCGCTAGCATGATCACCTCCGATACAACATTCAGGTCGTCCCTGGATATTGCAAGGCTATCGACACGACATTACGAAGCCTTTCTACTTTTTTACAGATAGAACCAAGTCATCCCAACAATGATCCTGCGATGAGTTCTACAAACTTTGCCGCTGCTCAAGAGCGGGTTCTCGAACGTCGTCGTCTCCGCGAGGCCGAGGCTCGCTCCAGGCTTGCTGAACAGCAACAATCCCACCCTCTCAATCACGCCGCTCTCCAAAAACTCCCTTATCCTCTCAACAAACTACCTGCGCCGGGAATCTCTATATGGAATGCTATAAGAGGCCGCGAAGGACTGAGACCAGCTTATCGCGTCGGTCAGGTGGACGCCGAATTGCTGGATGAGGAGTTGCTGGGGTTGCTCAAAGGACAAGTTGGAGATGCATTGAAGTATTACGGTGTTCGTTTCCCAAAAGCCTGTGTACACTTGGTCTAGTCGACATGCGCTAATCGTTACTCCCAATAGCCTCAAATGCGAGAAGATTGGTCCCACGAGATCCAATTCGCTCTTCGTGCAGCCCTGTTCAAGCTTTCGATCTGGGATCATAATGCCTCATACGGCGCGGCATTACAGAACCTGAGATACATTGATAGTCGGAGCAAAGGGCCTGTTCATTCGGCTCCCACCAAGTGGCAGAAGTCTCTATATGGTCTCCTCACCGTTGGCGGTCGCTATGCTTGGGGCAAGTGGGAAAGTTGGTTAATAAGCCAAGAAAGTGGCTATGACGAGGTAAGTCAGAGCCCCTCCTTTGAGACCCATCCTGAACGTGGCTCATGGTTTCAGCCATCACAAGAGGTACGGATGCTGTCGCGAATGACCGACCTTGTCTCCGCCACTCACTCAATCGCCGCATTTATCTCGTTCTTAGTATTCCTAGTCAACGGCCGGTACAGGACACTAGTTGATCGCATTATCCGCATACGCTTGATGCCGCCGTCTGCACAAGCAAGCCGCGAGGTGTCCTTCGAATATCTGAATCGCCAGCTGGTTTGGCACGCATTCACGGAGTTTCTCCTATTTCTCTTGCCACTTGTTGGCATAAGCCGATGGCGCCGATGGCTCTCTAGACTGTGGAAGAAAGCATTATCTGCACTCAAATCAGGTAATGAAGACGACGAGGTGGACGGCAAACAGGGAGAGCTTGCATTCCTTCCAGAACGAACGTGTGCAATCTGTTACAAAGAGAACAACCCTGCCGCCGCAACAGAAAGTGACGCCATTGCAGCCTCGGCGTCATCTGGAGGGATCATTGGATCTGCTCAGACCGATATTGCCAACCCGTATGAGGCTGTTCCTTGCGGCTGTATATATTGCTTCGTATGCATTGTACAGAAGCTGGAAGCCGAGGAGGGAGAAGGCTGGATCTGTCTCCGATGTGGTGAGGTTGTGAAAAAGTGCAAGCCATGGAATGGCGATGTGCTAGAAGACGCTCGTCCGCAATCAAGCTCAGGGAAGATTGTGGGGTTCGCTATGGATGGCACTGCAGACACGGACAGCACCCACCGGGGAACGGAGTCAGAGCGGCACGCGGAAAGGACGACCGCGTCGACGGATTCATCATCAGATGAAGTGATGCATGAGTCGGACCACTGGTCTACGATTGAGAAGGGTTCTGTGGAAAATCTGGACAACAGCTAATCAGAAAGCACGAAATAAGTGGTTTTTGGTGCGGGATGATTTGTCGAGACCTGCCAAATCTCTGACTACAATACGATCTTCTCACCTTGACGAGTCGCATATCTTGATGACTTGACTCAGGTTATTGGATTGACTACGATTTAAAGATACCCAGCAGTTTTTAGAATCTATTCTTGCTGCAGCGACTTGAACAGACGTCAAGCTCCAAGCTCCAAACACATGTAATAATACGGGTCCTCTATCATCAAGCATGAATAGGTATGCTTTGTAGGGAAAAGAAACAATTCCCATAAAAGAAATCTTATTGGACTACATAATTTGTCCTTTTCATCACAACTTGGAAGCACTCATGCTTTGCATCTTTCCAACCCAAGCGACGACATGGTGGACCCACTCGGTCGAAGCTGTCTTCAAATCACAACGAGATTTATTCCGATTACCGCTAGAGTGCCGCGGATGTCGTCCTCCCCCCACAATCGGACACTTCGCCGATGGCGGGGTCGCCGCACTTCCGATCGAGGAGCTCCCCCTCATAACCTTGAGCACGAAGCACGAAGAATAATTCTGCATCGACATCTCGTCTGTTCTCTGTCAGCCTCGCTCAGCTCTAGGTAGAACAGGCTTAGAGAAGTCCGCGCCAGAAGCTCTACAATACCAGTACATTTTCGTTCAGCAAGCTCCAACATGGACCCCACCAAGCCAGCCGGCGCCCCCTCCAACCTCCAAGAATCCAAATACATTGACTTCCCAGCTCTCCCAGCCGATGCGAAGCATGAGGATGGCACCCCTGTCTTGAACAGATGGTCTTCGACCATCACGAAGGGTCATGATTTTCCTGGTGCGAAGGTTCGTTAGCTTAATTCAGGTTCACTCGATGTATGGTCTCGGTCGCTGATACCAGATTCAATCTAGGCAATGCTTTATGCGGCAGGCATTCCCGACAACAATGCAATGACGAAGAGTCCCCAGGTGGGAGTTGCTTCTGTATGGTGGGAAGGCAACCCGTGCAATATGCATCTTCTAGACTTGGGCAAGACGGTGAAGAAGGCAATCACAGAACAGGGTATGATCGGGTGGCAGTATAACACAGTCGGGGTGTCGGACGCAATAACTATGGGCAGTGAAGGTGGGTACATTCAGGTCCTTGCATGAATGAGGCTGTTACTGACTGGAAGATAGGCATGAGATTCTCCCTCCAGACCCGCGAATTGATCGCCGACAGTGTCGAGACTGTCACATGCGCTCAGTACCATGATGCTTGCATTGCCATTCCAGGATGTGACAAGAATATGCCTGGTGTAGTAATGGGAATGGCCCGACACAATCGCCCCTCTATCATGATTTACGGAGGTACCATTCAGATTGGCTATTCCAATCTTCTTAGGAAGCCTATTAACGTGTCTTCCTGTTTCGAGGCCGCTGGTGCTTATGTATACGACACCTTGCGTCAACCGGACGATGGAGGCGACACTAGCAAGACTAAAGACGAGATCATGGATGATCTTGAGAGACATGCCTGTCCCACTGCAGGCGCGTGCGGAGGCATGTTCACCGCCAACACAATGGCCACAGCGATTGAGTCTATGGGTCTTTCGTTACCCGGTTCCTCCTCCACGCCCGCTTCGTCTCCGTCAAAAATGCGGGAATGTGTCAAGGCAGCGGAAGCTATCAAGATTTGTATGGAGAAAGACATCAGGCCGAGGGATCTGTTGACAAAGCGCTCTTTTGAAAATGCCCTCGTCATGACAATGGCTTTGGGAGGAAGTACCAATGGGGTCCTTCACTTCCTGGCTATGGCCCGGACAGCCGGGGTAGATCTGACCCTGGATGATATTCAGAGAGTCAGCAACAAGATTCCCTTCATCGCTGACCTTGCCCCCAGTGGAAAGTATTACATGGCGGACCTGTACGATATCGGAGGTATCCCGTCCGTTCAGAAGCTACTGATTGCAGCGGGCCTGCTCGACGGCGATATCCTTACGGTGACTGGCAAGACTCTAGCCGAGAATGTGGCTTCTTTCCCATCACTGCCGGAGGACCAGGTCATCATCCGGCCTCTCAGCAATCCAATCAAGTCAACAGGACACCTTCAGATCCTTCGAGGCAACCTTGCCCCTGGAGGTGCCGTAGCCAAGATCACTGGCAAAGAGGGTACTCGCTTCGTCGGCAAGGCACGGGTGTTTGACAAGGAACATTCTCTCAATGAAGCTCTGGACCAAGGCAAAATCCCCCGCGGCGAAAACCTTGTCATTGTGGTTCGTTACGAAGGCCCCAAGGGTGGGCCAGGAATGCCAGAGCAGCTCAAAGCCAGTGCTGCGCTCATGGGAGCTAAACTCACCAACGTGGCCCTCATTACAGATGGGCGGTACTCTGGAGCCAGTCACGGGTTTATTGTAGGTCATATTGTACCTGAAGCCGCCGTTGGGGGACCGCTCGCAGTGGTTCGTGACGGCGATGTCATCACCATCAATGCGGAGACAAACGAGATTAGCATGGATGTCTCTGACGAGGAACTTCAGCAACGGCTGAAAGAGTGGAAGCCTCCGGCTCCCAACGTCACACGGGGTGTGTTGGCCAAGTATGCCCGACTTGTTGGAGATGCTTCCCACGGAGCCATGACGGATCTTTTCTAGATCCAAACATGACACTTGTTGTCTTTTCTTGTACAACTCAATTGACTGATGGTAAGCGGTGAGAGCAAATGAAGACCTATTGCGATATATCCCGTCTACTCGAGCCATTCTTTTCGTAGTGCAGTGCAAGTCGTCTTCTAGATCCCTTAGGTTCCCGCATCCGGCTTTGATCGTAGGCGTATGCCTGGCTGACCTGAACCTGAAACATTTATCACGTAAACAGAACCCTGTGTGGGTTAATTTGACATGTTCTCTGAAAGCCTGATGATTTAAGTTACAAGCTTAGCGATGTAGTGTTTATGCCACTTCATTCAGGCATACACTTGTGCTTAGTCATGCCACGGGATGCGGCGTGACGCCATGAGTGGATGTGATTCATCGCCGGCAAATTTGCGACGAACAAGAATTCCAGATATCCTCCACGGTGTTGCCTCCGAGTCTCTGACAGGCTCGTTTGCGTTAGGCACTTCCAGACTGATCTCCGCCGAAAACTTAGTTTCTTTCCGGATCTCTTGCCTCCTAAATCGATTTCCGCTCCGCGGTTTAGTTCTCTTGTTAAAGTTCGGATCGCATTCGGCAAATGGTGTTGTGATTTTGGTCGTCTTCTGTCTACGCAAGGTATGTTCCTCACTTCTGCCCACGGTACCTTGCAGCCTGTGCTTGTATACGTCCTGCACCCTCGCGTAACAGCTCTCTGGACTCACGTCGGCCCATTGACTAACAACTTCCAATAATCAGTTGCGACGTAAAGACCTATTGATACCTTGCGACCCGTTGGAACAACGAATAGTCCCATGTGACCCGTCGGGTCCTCGTTTGTGTTTCGTCGCCCAGGATTTGAGCATATTGTCGTCATCGGAAGCCCCTGATATACGAGTACCACTCCTTGCCGGATCCCATCAGAGGCCGGTGGAGCTGTCAGATTCTTTGGGGGTGCCTAAATCCAGCCAGGAGACCAACGTGTTGGGTATCAGCCTTTCATTGGTGCATTCGACTGGGGGCGCACTTAAGAGTAGTCACTAAGAACGGCGGCTTGGAATCGCTCCTTACCTTCGACAACCTTTTCAGTCCGGCGCAGGTCCGTAGCGCAGATCCATCTTACGGTGATTGCTCGATCGGCCCGCTTCTTTGCCTCACTATCGATCCGGAAACACAGTCTAGCTTCCAAGGAGGTGCTGTACTTCTGGCTCGTGGAGGGTTCGATTCGCATTCCAGAACGGATCCTCGTCACTCCCGATTCTTGGTCTGGACGCTGGTCGACAGGGAACCCCCGGCACTGGGCGTTGGGGCTTGGAAGGACGGTGAGCGGGTGAAACAAGCTCTCTTGGTCATCAGCCATATAAGCCTGGGAAGCCTCGCAGAGGCGGCTGCCTTCGTTGGGGATGGATTCTTCAGTTGTACCACCGACTTTCCCTGCCACATCCCGTCCTGGTATCGTCGAAAGTGGTGCGCTTTCGCGTGCATGGGACACGGTCTACTCGACATTCTCTCGCTCGGGCATTTCTATTTATCTCTCTTATCTTACTCAGATCTCTCGTTACGATGGAACTTTGAATTGGGGAAAGGTTGTGTTCCTTATTACCTGCATTGCCACGATGGTCGGATGTGGTTTCGTTACCTCGATTTTGCGGCGAAAGGGCTGGGGAGCAACCCCAGCTAAGAAGCGCTTTCGCCGCGCTCTACGCAAAGACTACTCGAAGCGCTCTGCTGGTACTGTAACTTCATCGGAAGACGAAGACTATGATAGTACTGGCTCCCTGAGTCACGGCTCCAATGAGACCATATTAGAAAAACGGGAAGCATCTCAGCATCATGAAAAGCGTGAAAATGGTGAGTGAACTAACACCCTAGCTGCTTCGTTCGGTGACTGACTGGTTGAAAGCAGCGCATGACACGGACCCGGGTCTGTTAAAGAAACACTCAACATACCTGTCATATACAACATCAGTTGCGACCTATCCGTCTATTAGAACCTTCAACCGACCGCATCCGCAGATGGATAAGCTTCCCACCAAGCCTACTCCGATTCCGCTGTTGGTTTTTGTACATGGCCTGGGCGGATCGTTGGCACAGTTCAACCATCTCCTGACCAGCTTGTCAAACATTGGGCCTTGCTTTGGTATTGATCTTCCGGGATGTGGATTGTCGTCATTCAATCCAGATTCCTGGGATGCATATACCGTTGAGGCGCTGGCAGAGCTGCTGGCAACAGCCATCGAGCAACACCGCGATAAGGATGCAGGGCAAGGTGTGGTTTTGATAGCTCATAGCCTGGGCTGCTCCCTGTCTGCGCTATTGGCGTCTTCCACTTCTAGGATTGGCTCCAGTCTGAAGGAGCATATCTTGGGCCTTGTTGCTGCCTGCCCCCGTGCGACGCCTCCACCTGCCCATGACGTTGCCAAGTTTCGTCGCCTACTTCAAATCCCCGGCCCGGTCTTTGACCTTTGGCGTTCCTGGGATCGACGTGGTGGCCTGCATAGCAGCAGTGTCAACCGACTTGTTGGCGCGGCAGCAGATCCAGATACAAGGGAGCTCCAAGTACGCTACAACAAGCAGAGCAAAACCCCGGTATGGAGGCGGATGGCTTGGGGAACGCTCCCTACCTACGATAAGTCTGGTAATCCTGTTGGGGGTATTCCGGGTGAGGCGGTGTGGGCAGGTGTCGAAATTCCTGTCTTGCTCGTGGCTGGCGAGGCTGATGCAGTGAACAAGCCCATCGAGCTCCAAAAGATACTCGAATTTTTCGGGCAGAGCGGGCGTAGTGTTGGCGACGGCGCCGATGCCGTGACGCCGATTCCCGATGCCTCCGCAATAAATGACAAGGCTCCCGCGTCCTACGACCATCTGGCACATGAGGAAAGTTTCGGACTCGAGGCGCAAGTTGCCGAAAAGAAGTTGACAAATAAGACGGACGAAGCGACCGGGCACCAGCGTGCTGTGAAGACTGTTATCCTTCCGGCGCCAGCATCTCATGCACTGATCTACGACCGTGCAACTTATCGCACACTGGCCGGAATCATCCAAGACTTTCTTAACCAGTATATCGACAATCGTCTCAGCATGGGATGGCAATTACAATATCTCAACACCTCCGGCAAATGGGACGTGAAGAATCTGGCCAAATGGAAAAAGGTTACGCCTGTCTCACAACGCATTGATGATACATTTGTGGCCATGAAGATGCTGCGTGAAGTCGACGAGGAGCACAATCCGGTCCTGTTCTCGCAGACGTACCGTGGCCGCATCTATGCTGTGGTTGACATTAGCTATGAGAATCCGGTGTACAACCCAGCATCGATGGAAAAGGGCGGTATCCACTACCACAAACATCCGACGGTGTCCAAGATACCTCCCACGCCGGATGAGGTTCGAGATTTCATTGCCTTGATCGATCGGCTGCAGAATGAGATCACTGAGATGATGGTGAAATCAGACAATCCGGAAGGCCCACGTCCAGTGGTTGGAGTTCACTGTCACTACGGATTCAATCGCACGGGATTCCTGATCGTCTGCTACCTGATCGAACGACGCGGATTCAGTGTCCAAGCGGCGATTGAAGAGTTTGAACGACGACGTCCACCGGGAATCCGACACGAACACTTTATCGATACATTATTCGTGCGATACTGCGTCGGGCTGAAGCGAGCGCCTACGCTTTGAGAAGAATTGATGTGGATTTGGATTTGGCGCTGGCATTGACTGGCACTGGCGTTAGGAACTGGGTTTGACGATTGATGACAAGACTACCATAATTAGATTGTATATTACGGCGATTTATTTCACACTGTATGATAGTAGAGTTCGCCTGCTCTGACATAATGATGAGTACGAATTGCAAAGCGTTTGTTTGGATAACTAATGTTCGTTCGGCTAATTGTAAAGCGGCAGAAGGTACGAAGTACTTATGCGGGAAGTAAATCAGGCATGAACATTGTCCTGCCTGAAGAAGCGGGTAGCAATCAGTTTGATATGTCTTGATATGTCGGCCTCAGGCACCCACCCCTTAGGGTACGGCTAATCCCGAAAAGGCTAAGCGAAGCGCCCACAGCCAACCGAGAGGCACTACGAGCGCGAATGTTGTGTGCGAATCCGAAATTTCGAGGCTTGAAACCTGCCGACTCCTCAACGACGACAACGACGACCCATCCTCCCACCTCGTCCCTCTCTTCAGCTCCCTCTTCGATTTCCCCGTTCGAGGTCCACAAGTCGCAAAAATGGGTGGTGTCACCGTTCGCGATGTCGACGTAAGTCGCTTCCTTTTGATATAATGGTCCTGATGATTACGGCGAGGCGTCGGTCGGGGGGCATGGATAGGATGATATGGCATGGCACGGGCACAGACGAAAGAAAGAGGCATATTGCACACAAGCGGGCAGCACAATCCGACGCACGGAGCGATCACTACAACAACACGATATGCGACAGGACAAACAAGGAAGCATGGAATCAAAACGAATCGGCGGTACTTCGGACAACGCGGGTGTCTTCTACGGAAAACAACGCAGGATAGTCTATGAAAAAAGCCAGGGATATGGAAATGGAACGAACCCCCGCGATCGGACGAGAAATCAATCTCTTGCAGCCATATGTTTCTCCGCAATATATGAATTTTCACAAGCAAAAACGGTTTTGCGATTTGAGCTGAGCGATCAATCACGCCGCGAACGACTTTATTTATTCTCCCAAGTGTGCCTATGCCATGCCATATCTGCCTGAAATGCCACACGAACAACGACAGGCTTCGCTGCAATGAGTGATGTTTGAGAAGACCGATAAGAACGGGTCGGCTAACGAGTCTTTGACCATACAGGCGCAGAAGTTCATCGCTGCCTACTCTGCGTTCTTGAAGCGTCAGGGAAAGCTCCCCATTCCTGGTTCGTTCTACACCACATCACCGATAACTTTCGCAATCTCGCGAGGAAACAAACGACTTAGATCAGAGAACTAATCTGTTTTCGCCATTAGGATGGGTTGACACTGTCAAGACCTCCGCCTCCAACGAGCTCCCTCCCCAGGATGCCGACTGGTACGACATTCTTCACCTCTGACACCGTCCGTATCCGGGCAAAGATCTGACCGAGTCTCCGTTTTCTACTCTATAGGTACTACGTCCGCGCTGCTGCCGTCGCCCGTCACATCTACATGCGCAAGACCGTCGGTGTTGGCCGCCTCCGCAAGGTCCACGGTTCCGTCAAGAACCGCGGTTCCCGCCCCAACCACCACGTCGATGCCTCCGGCTCCGTTGACCGCAAGATCCTCCAGTCCCTCGAGAAGATCGGTGTCCTCGAGACCGATGAGGAGAAGGGTGGCCGCCGCATCACCCAGAGCGGCCAGCGTGATCTTGACCGTATCGCCAAGACCACCGTTGACGAGGAGGAGGACGACGAGTAAATTAGTCCCGCTGGATTTCGATTTTAAAATAATGAAAAAGTCCTGATGTTAACCCTCGTCCTTTTTCTTCTTCTAACTTCTTTTTCTCTTCTTCGCCTTTTTCATCCTTCGACGTGGGTTTGAGAGGAGTAAAAAAGGAAAGTGGGAAACTTAGGGGGAGGGAAGAGGCGGTTTTGGGTTCAGCAATCCTTCTTCATCCTACAAGTCGACTTCATGTATAACTTCGTGTGTGTGGCAGACGGTTAAAGGGTGCGAGGCAGGCCAACTTTTTTTCATGGGAAATTTATTTTCGGATGGAAGATGATCACAGCGTGTGGGCAGGGTACTCGAAGATGACCAAGACAACAATGGGAAACTAGAGAGAGGATGAACTTTGAATGATGGTTTTTATTTTTTTGACATATATCTCCCCCTCGAACTTCAGTTGTTCATGCCGGGCATTTGCAAGTGAACGAATTCTTTTCCCTTTCTTTTGACTTGACCCTGTTATCCTGGGGGGATAGCATCACCATGGGATCATTGTATGCAATCAAGCTGTAGTACATATTCGTCTGGGGATAATTTCCATCGGCCCAGCCCAGACGCCAGAGTCTCGATGGATGGTATTGCTGTATGAATTCTGGCAGGCTGGGTTAATTATAGTCAATGCGTCTGCGCTCGAGCCATGCAGAGACCACCAAGTCTGGACTCCGTCGGGTGGTGGTGGTGGTGGTCCGGAGGCGCAACCCTGTTTTGCGGGCTGGCTTCTTGCAGATTGTAAGTTAGCAACAAGTGCCTCTCGTACACTACGCTCTTGTTCTTTCCGCCGTTGCTGCCTCGCTTCCCTGCATGCATGAATCGACAGTACACACCTTCCCCTTCCCCTTACTTACGCCCCTATCAAAACAGACTATCCAACGAATTGACCAGTAAATCAATTGATTTGAACCGAACCAAACCCAATATCGGAACCCCAACTCTTCTTACCATCCATTCTATAGTTTCCCACTTCCCAAACCCGTCTTCCATTCCCCTTCACCACCAAAGCCAAAGCCCCAAAGCCCCCGACCCCAAGGACCCGAAAAGATTCCAATCACCCATTCCAACCAGGGCAAACAGTATAATCAATCCCTCTACTTCCTCCCCGACTGTGCACTAGGATCCTACAATCAAAAGCCAGTTAGTCCCAAACCCAGCCCCTCAGAAAAACAAAAACAGAAAAGAAAAAAAACCCACCAAATAAACCTGATAAAACCGCATCTTCAATTCCCCCTCCTCACCATCAAAAACCACCCTCCCCGCCCACGGCACCTCGACCTCATTCCCCGGATCATTCCGCAGAACGTACTTGACCGTCCCGTAGAGCATGAGCTCGCCCTCCCCGCCGAAGTACACCCGCTCCGGGGTGTGTTTGCGCGAGGCGACGTGCGTCCAGAGGCCGTGGCGGAGGGTACGGATTTCTTTTTTCCAGGGGATGTGTTAGCCAGCGGTGGGGTTGGTGTTTGAGTGTCTGTATTAGGTTCTTGGGTGAGGTTGGGAAGGGAGGGGGTATCTTGTTCTGTGTATAGATGACGATGTGCCGGGGGAGGTGAGGGGAGGGGAGACTTGGGGTAGGATGAATGTTAGAGACAGGGGCAGGGTTACCGTCACGTCCCTTGGCCGTCTTCGGCCCCATGATCAACGTGGCATCTTCCGTGAAGTTCTGGACGTATTGGTCGTGAGCGGATTCGGTGTCGCTGGTGCGGTAGAAGGATTCCAGGAAGGAGATCATCGCCGCGGCGCGCGGGGGGGAGAGGGTCGCGTGCGAGGCGATTTGGTAGGTCATTGTGTTGGTTGGATTTCTTTCTGGGGGAGTTCGGCTAATGTGATGAGGAGGTTGGGTTTTGTGCATATGTTTGAAGTTTCAGATTTGATTTGGATGCTTAGTTTTGGGGTACATACACCGTGGTGGAGATGATGTCAGGTTACTTTGTAGTAATGTAGAAAAGTGATCGGGCCGATGAGGGGGGGGATTGCCATCCGATAGGAGGAGGGTGCATCCGATGGTTTGTGCGGATTGAACAAATTCATACTGTTGGAATTGTCCGCGGGTAATTTGTCCAGTTGCCGTGTTCAGATTGACTTGGGACTGATTCATTGAGGTATTCAAGATTGCGCGATGTGCTTGCTATGGTAGGCTTAGCATGAGATTCGCTGCTGCTACCTCACACAAGCGAATATACTACGACGGATTGCCGGAAAATAAATCAGGATGTGCATGCTGCTACTTCTCCGAATATGTACAAAGACTTCTACCAAGCGTCAAACCTAAACCTTCCGAAAATCCTCCTCTTGCTGCTCGAAATCCTTCCAACTCGCCCGGTCCGTGCCATTAGGCCGGCTGGCTCGGATGAAACTGTTCTCCACACCATCGATTTGGGTGATGGGCCGCACAATCTCAATGTCCCCTCCATAGGCCTTGGAGTACCAGATCTCAGTGAGGGCTTCGTCTCCCGCTTGTTCAGGAGCCGCGTAGAGGTGGGGGAATCGGGCCTGCATGATCTTCAGCACGGTCGAAGAGATTCGATCCACGCTGTCGCAGTGCCGCAGCTTGAAGAACTCGGGGGGCTGCGCAGCGCGCATTTGCTCCTGGATAGCGTCCGAGTATTTGCCAACGGCAAAGAGCAGCAAATCATAATGCATCAACGAAGCTTTGCCGTGGTAGGAGCCGCCCTGCTTCGCGCGGTGGTAGAGACCCGTCAATGCTGCAATTGCCCCCATACATCCGGTGCCGTAGTCGGAGATGGGGAACGGGGGAACCATTGGGGCCGAGTGACCCATGAATTCACCCTGTGCCCATGCAATACCACTCACCTGTAAAGCAAGTTAGCTGTGGTTGTGAGACGCGAGACAATGAACAAGGCGACTTACGCAGTCGGCAATCTGTTGCCAGCCTGGGCGGCCAGCCCATTCACCCTCGTATCCAAAGCAGTTCTCATTCACAACCACAATACCCTTGCCGCGCTTCTCAGCCAGTGCGGCAAGTGCATCCGGTCCGTACCCTAGCTTCTCGAGAGCCCCTGGGCGGTATCCGTCCACGAGAACATCGGCGTCAGCCAAAAGCTCTTCGAATTGACGCCGACCGTCCTCAGACTTGAGATCCAAGTCAGCAGCATGCTTGCCCATGTTGCCGTCCACCTGGAAGAAGGGAACATCAGACAGCTTAGGGCTGGTGATCTTCAAAACGTCGGCACCATATTCCGACAAGATACGTGCCACCGTAGGCCCAGCAATGATACGGCACAGCTCCAGAACCTTGACCCCTTCGAGGATCCTCTTGCTGCCGCTGCGACTAGCAGGGAATGGTGTGGGAGGCAGGTCGCCGCTCAGACGGGTCACCTTCCAAGCCGGTTCCTGGACGTTGAGTTTGCCCTAATCGATATATGTCAGCGTGAATGTCCTCTTTAAGGGACCGAGAATCCGTACATGGGGAGTTTGGATAAAGTCCTCGTATTTGAATGCCGTCACACCGGCCTGTCTCCTCTCCTTGTTCATCTCCTCTAACTCCGCCGCGGAGTATTTCTGCACATGGCTCTCGATGACCTTGATGATCTCCTCATAATCAGTCAGATCTGGCCGTTGACCCTCCAATCCAATCATTTTCAGCGTCGTGGTAGCCTCGAGTGAGCCATGAATGTGGAAGTATTCGTCCTTGTTCTTGGTCTTGTACAGATTCGCCGACATCCGACGGTAGCCGTTCGACTGGGCTGCGAGCAAGTCCGTGTCTAGGACAATCAGCCACACGAACATTGACCCCTCAGGGAGGAAGAATTTGCCCACCTTTCAGCTTCTTCTTCACTTCCGGATCCAACTTGGACAATCCATCCACCTTGGCCATGTACGCCTGGCAACCAAAAGCGGTGGCCCGCTCGAGGCTCACCTTGACATTCCGCGCTTGAGTTGATGGTCCATACCGCAGATCAGCAATTGCGCCTGCCACTGCTCCCTCCACACCTTTCAACGCAGCCAAGGTCTCGGTCTCTTTGAACGGGATCGGGTAATAGATCTGGTCATGGGTGGACGTGAATGACACGGCATCCCTGCGCTCCGCTACTTCCGCAGGCAAGCTGAGACGTTCGGCTTGGTCGCAGAGATGGTTGAAAATGCGACCCGCCTCGCGGACAGGCGAGTATTGGACGCCGCTCTCCGAATTGGCCGCCATACTCTCTTTATCTGATTATAAGATTGACCTCCTTATATTCCAGACCGATATCGTTGGAGTCGCGCTTCCTGCAGACGGCAAGTACTTCCGCAAGTCAGTATGAGGGAAAGCAAGAAGAAGCCCACGCAGTCTATCCGGGGAGGGGGAAACGGACCCAGATATATGTAGATCAAGGCCCGCCAGAAAAAGCGACGTTTCGGCAAAGGAGTTTCTGGATCGAGGAGAAAGCAAGCAGCCCTTCTACTTTTTGACGGTTACGGTGGGTTCAGTCGCCCGGGTCCATTCCGAGGGATTGTCCCGTCGGGTGGATGCACGTCTGGACGACCGATCGGCAAGCACAAATTCAACGGCAGAGCCCATTATGCCTGCTGAAGATTGTACTACGACAGGCAAAACGTTCTCTCTGGTCCTTGGGTAATAGCATCGGGAGAGGGGGACTCTAACCCCGCAGGGGAGAGGCGGATTGATTCCCGAAGGGTGGGAATGAGTTGGAGAAGTGCGTTTTCGGATGTGAGGCCGATAAGATCGGAAGCGGATTACGGTCCGGTCAGATGACGTCGCCACGGGAGCTGTGACTTGATGCCTGAGTTAAACGGCAGCATCAGGCACCAGCAACTTCGCCGTGCTGTGGCTTGAGCTGGCCGACAAATACTCGTACTTGAATACTTTGACTGATTGAATGATTATCAATGCTACGTTGTAAATAGCCACTAACTTCACAAGTACAATTTGTTCTTAGACGTAATGAAACATATTTACCCTGCGCAACCTTCTTACCACACCAGTGCTCGCTTCAAGAATATTTATCTCCACATGACATGAAAGGTGAATGAGATGTAGACTAAGAGGCTGATGGCGATGAAACAACTCTACTACAGCCAATAAGGAACCTCCAGACGATTGAGACGCATTGATTCCTTCAAGACATTCTACATGTCTTAAACTAAATTTGAAAACCTATTTGCAAGAGAAGGCATTGCACACGACATAGGTACATGTCTTTGTCGGTGAGCATTGGACCTGCCCCTTTTTGCAGTACGGTAGGTATGAAGGGGAAGAGCATGTCACAGACGCATGCCGTATGGGTGGTCTCTTATTAATATATATCTCAAGCCGGAGGATGTATCAGTTTAGCGTGAGGGCCGGTCTAGTTTGAATGATGATTGACATGTCTTACCCTCTTGTAGTATGCAAATCCACCCCCGATCTATTGCCGTACTTTTTTTTTACCTAACATTACATGACAGGTTCCGTAAGCGTCGTACATACTCCAAGTACATTTAGGGGACGAGTCCTATACTTTATTCAAAAGCGATTCAATAGAAACCACAGGTTGCAAAGAGCTGCAATGCATTGAATGCAACGAAGGGCCGATTGAAGGCCTATGGAGACAGCCCATCTTTGTGACATCCTGCGGCTGGATCAGCCCCCAACCTTGGGTCTGTCAGCCACTAACTCACCACCCAAAAGCTGCTGACATTTAAGCTCGCAGTGATGGACTGTGTAGTCAGCACACAGTGGCCTTTTCTGAACCGAGTTATAATTAATGCAACCATGAGAGATTTTTAGGATAGGCTTTGGATCAATAAGATTTCCTTTGAGAATCACGTTGATCGAGGCTAAAACTGGTGCCAAAATTCCGAGGCCACCCTCGACCACCGGAAAGTTCTTCAGGTTTGGTACGGAGTACTCAGTACTACCTTCGAATACTTCGATACTACACAGTATTGACGACAAGGATGGATGGCAAATCACCCACCCGTCTTCTCTCTTCTGATGGAGGGGGGAAAGGCAAGCAGCTAAGCAAGCCAGTCAGCCAGTCAGCATAGAATCCTACGGCGCATGTACAGTGCCCGATGCCCACGTGCCGTCGTCATGGCAGATTGTCGCCTACCAGAGTTCGACCAGGCAAGGCGTACGTACGGTAGGGTTCCTGCCCTCACCAGGTTTTCTAGCCAAACCTACATTGCAGACGCCGGGGGTGTGGGAGAGGGGCGCACGGGCACGAGGTACCAGCCTTGATATGTCCGTCGATCGGTGGAATAAAGTGGAAATTGTTTGCTCGAACCGGAGACCAAGGAAATGTTCAAGACCAATTTACATCATCGCAAGTTGATTGTTGGGAGTTTTGGGGGAGTAGAGGAGGGGTTGGTGGGCGGGTATCGCAGGGTTACCACTCACATTAGTCTCTTGGGACTCTGAAGCTGTTTTGAACTGTAACTAAATTCACATTGAAGGAATACATAGTGCGATGTAGTTAGTGCGGGGAGGGGAATGGAGGCGAAGGGGAGGAGGGGAGGAGGGGAGGAGCAAGCTGATGATCGACTGACTAGTGGGATATTCATGATCATCATCGTCAGTCAGTTCGTTCGTTCTTCTTCCTCTCTGTGCGACTAGCACCGGAGAACGGTGTACCTTGAACTTCCTTGGACCTTGATAAGGCCGATACTTTGGAGGTACACAGCCCATACCTCCGATACGGTAAGAGAACAGCAGCAGCGATACCAGGGCTGGTGGCCCCGGATCCTCCCGGTGCGATTTCAAGCGGGCCCAACTGGTGTCCACCAATCCTCGAGCCCACGCCCCAGCCATGGGACTTAGCCCTTAGTTACTCGACTTCGTATGGACCCCGTAAAGGTCCGCCGGTATGGGGCGGCATGACGGGGGGGGGGTTGAGGGGGGTTTGAGAGAAAGAGGAGAAAAGATGCTTTGTCCAAGGAAATAATCCCGCGATAAGAGGGTCACACTCAATTCATTCACTCTGGGCTGGGATTCTTAAGGCTGGTCATTTTCTCCCATTCCCTGGCACTTCAACCCCCCCCCTTTCAAAAAGTAAAAGAGAAGCACAAATGACCCGAAGAGCAAAAGCGATAACACTGGTACTTCCTGAGTACTTGACCGCCGTGTATCATCTGCAATAGAACGGACATTTCCGACTTGCAGTGCTGCTGGTACTGCTACTGCTGCTGCTGCTGCTGCGCCGGCTGACAAGACATTCCATTGTGCTATTCTTACTCTTCTTACCTACCTACTATTATTATTGACGGACTGCAACCACCAACTCCTTGCGTTCCCTCCTCCTTTCCCTTCCCCTCCTCCTTCTTTCCTTCCTCCTTTCTTTTTTTCTTTTCTTCGACCGAAACTCTTCCTCTTGTCTGAATTGTCAAGGAACTTTTTCCATCGACTCTACGTGGTTTCTTGCCAACAACGTGTGAACATTGTTCCCCTGGATCTACTTGTCTCCCACCCGTCGCGTTCCTCCCCTTATCAACCAACCCTACGCCCCTCTTAGCGCGTCGCATCGCATCTGGCTTGCATACTAAGTCCGCTCACCGTTGCGTCTGCACCTCTACGATCTGCTGTCAACAGATTACTGTGAGTCAAAGTCCCCAAGCCTCCGATTTTCACCAACCACACTTTTTTTTCCCCCTTTACATCAGTCATGCTTGACCCTGAATCTATAGCTATTGGAGGGAGTTTGCACTGGGTCTGGAACTTTAGTCATCTCCCTCCATTCATTGTTCCCATTGTTTGGTTTGCGCCGCTATGGTTGGTCGATCATTCATCTGACTCATGTGATTACAGATCAACAGTTAGCCACCAGGTTGAATAGAAGCATTCCTCTCCCTGTGTTCGAAACACCCATCATGGCTTTCCAGAATACCACGTCCAGCATCGCTATGGCCCTTGCTAGTAAGACCGCCTCGGTTGACATCCCCAAGCCGCGTCCCGGCTTTCCTATGGCTAGTCGCGACTCGACTCGCCCCGGGGCTCCTGCCTTGTTGCCCACACCGCCCAACTCTATATCGCCAACTTTGCCGCCTCAGGGCTTCAGACGAGAGGATGTCGGTCAGTCGGGTTACTCTCCGCTTGCCTCTTCGCATGTGGACTCGGACGTCGACCTTGGAGATGTTACGGCGAATTCCCTCGCTGCCCATGATCTCGATAGCACCGGAGCTATAACCCCTGGAATGTTGGCCAAACACCATCTTCCGGCGATTATGCTGCAGCACGGACCCTTGGCGATTCGCCACCTGATGGGTTATCTGACTTCTTCTGTCCCCGGCTTCTCGGGTATCCCTCCGGCCAAAGCACGGAGACTGGTTGTGGCCGCACTGGAGGGTCGAGGGTTCGACGAGAAAAGCGCTGTCGCTCAAAGCAATGTGATCTTCGAGAAGGTTGGCTGGGGTCGCTGGGATGCACGGCGTCGTGGTGAACCGTTGCGCAGAGACTCGCAACGAATGAACATGTCGCCCCCCTCCAGCCCCTCGGACACGTTCTCCCAGCGGGGCATGCAGATTCCCACCACCAAGAGGGACAGCCTGCAGCCCTATGGCACCAGCGTAGCGGGTGATTCCGCCGTGTTTTCCTATTCAACCGAGATGGAGTTTGGCCGTCCCGGCATCAGCATGTTGGAAGAGGAAGCTGACAAGATGTCTCTGGACGGCAACGATCGCGAGTACTGCTCATCTTCTCAGGCCCCTGACGACGAAATGCCAATCGAGGATTGGGGGGAAGAAGATGTGACAGATGAGGAGGATTGGGCGCAGATAGGGGCTGATGCTCTACGTGCACGGTCCCTCAACGCCTCAGGCGGTATTGTCTACGGCAGCGGCAAGTCGCCTCAACTCCGTGGAGGAGGGCCGGCAACCTCATCTTTAGCAAAATCTGCACCGCGCAATTTTCCTATTCAACAGCTTGGGTTCAATCCACCTGATAATGCCATGAATGACGGGGATGAGCGCGCTGCAGCTGCAGCCGCATTGTTACGGCTTGGATCGATGTGATGTGGCTCGATGGCCAGTGACGACCGGCAATTCTAGGGTAACGGTCTTTGCATGACCTATTTTCAGGCTGGACCATTCTTTCTTAGTACATACATTTTTGCTTTCGACTTCCATCTCTGGGGCCACCAGCATGCTGCACGAACACCACCGGGTCGACTGGTTCGATCCCGGGTTGCATTGGGAGTTGGCTTGGCTGATCTGGGATTGACATGAAGGCGTTTTTCTTCTTTTGACGGCATCGCTACGATGCCAATGTCGTCAGCTCAACACTGACAGACGCGCAGTCAGCTTTGACATTCTGTCAGGTGATGGCATGGACTTATGACTATGATACCTCCGCTGCTATCTTGACAGCACCTTCGTTTCCTGCATTGAGCCCTCCGAGGCCTTCAACACATTTACAGTACATATATACTTGATGACACGGGATAATCACCACTCCACATTGTGCATATTTTTGACGGGTTCAGGAAACAGTCAAATGGGGTCTACAGGTTGCCTGTGAGACCATGTGAATATTATATATAGACATTAATACAAACACCTATGCTAGTCATAGACCAAGGCTACCTTTCAAGTGTTGCTTGTTGTATATTCTTGCCTGGTTAGGATTGAGATAATAGACTACGTGTTGCTCATCGTCATGTTAAGAGGACTTATCATGGATTGGTCATCAGTAAGTAAGCAGTAATCATATCGAACAGCTTATCACATATACAGCTTGAACCAAGTGCTACCTTGGAACTCTCAACCTCCGCAGCAGGGAAGCAAAACCACCCCCCCAACAACCAGATACTCACTTTTAGCCCTACCAACCTCCGATAAATAACACGAACAAAAACCCACCCACTCACCCCAAACACCCAGAAACAAACTACAAGCAACAAAGATAAGATCCCAAAACTCCTCCCCCTGGCCCAACACAGCAAGACAAGTCCAATATTCAAACCCCTTCCCCCCACCCACTAGATACATGACCCCCCCACTATTCCTTCTCGATTAGAAGAGAAGAGAAGAGGCTCACTTATCATGCACATCATTAATCTTCTTCCACACCTCCGCCTCCACCTCGGCCAACTTGGTCCCCGCACTGCGGAGCCACGACTTGGCGTTCGCCACGATGCTGCTTCCCGCCTCGCCGTCCTCGTCGAGATCCACCCGCCCTGAGACGCCGGGGTCGTAGTGCAGCGGGAGTTGTTGGGACGTTGCCGTCGCCGTCGCTGCCGGGCGCGAGGTCGTTGTGGCGCTGGTCGGGGGCTGGTAGAGGGAGGCGTAGGGGGTTGTTGTTGCGTTGGGGATAGCCGTGGGGACTGGGTTTGGGGGGCTGTATTGGTGTTGCGTTGTGGTGCTGTATGGGAATTGTTGTTGTGGTGGGTGTTGCTGTTGTGGTTGGAGGGCCGATGGGGGTTGGGAGTTTGTTGTTGATGGGGTAATTGCTGTGATTGCTGGCGCTGCGGTTGTTTGTGGTGGTTGTGCTGGTGGTTGTGCTCCTGCTGCTATGGCGGCTGGATTGGGGATCTCGCCTGTTTTGGGGGGTGGAGGTATGGAGGTTCCTAGAGCGGAAGCTGAGGCTGAAGTTGTAGGTGCTGGGACGGGAGGAGCTCCTGGCTGTGGGGGTGGGGGAGAGGTGGTCGTGGTGCTCGAGCTTGGGATGGGGGCGTCGCTCATGGTGGTTGGTGTTGGGGTGTATGTTGAGGATGGAGGTGCTGCCGGCGCAGGCGCTGGCGTTTGCACGGGCAGGGAAGGTATATCGTTGGGTTGCGCGGTGGCGTAGATGGGTGAGTATGATGGTGCAGTTGAGGTAGCTGCCGCGGTGGTGGGAGGTTGCGATGAGCTGTCAACGACACCTTCTTCAGGCTGCGGCCCTCGGGATGAGGTTCTCTTAGGGGAATCCCCGTGTATGTTTGAAGTTTTGTCGTCCATACTGTGAATGCGATCTAGCCCTGTGAAGTTGTAGTTCGAGGTGTTGAAGGAGCTACTCCCTGCTCCAGTACGACATAAAACGACGTCACTGCATGGGGCGGGTACACGTGACGTTGGTCAGGTGACCAGGATCGGAAAATTCTACCAGACAAGGTTTACAGAGGCAAACTACGAGGAGATATTGGAAAGAAAAAGAAAAGCTTTGCAGGCAGTAAAATACAACTGGTACAAGAGGAAATGACACACTTCTTTATGCCCAAGACAAACGTGTCATTCTTGAGGCATATTTCTATCCTCCCCAGTATCGTCCAGCATCCGGTAGTTACACCGGACGACTGGCCAACCCCTTCCCCAGAAGGATTCACACCGACTCAAACAGATTTGACCTTTTTAGTCAAATCGTTTAGCCAGAGCCACCCTTGTACTTCTTTCCGAAGAGCAGGAGCTGAACCTGGTCGTAGATGGACAGGACACCAGCACCAGCAACACCACGGAGGATGTTAGCACCAGCACCCTTGAAGAGGGACTTGACACCCTCACGGGCGACAATCTGGCGGAAAGCATCGGCGGAGGACTTGTACTTGACGGCCTCACCGGAGGTCATCATCATACGACGACGAACGGTGTCAAGAGGGTAAGAAGCGATACCAGCACCAGTGGTGACAGTCCAGCCGAGAAGGAAAGAAGCAAGGAAGTTACCCTCGAGAGGACCAACGAGAACGACGGGCTTGATGGAGTCGTACATGCCGAAGTACAGACCACGGTAGACAACAATACCAGCAACAGAGGGACCGAAACCACGGTAGAGACCGGCAATACCGTCGGAAGCGAGGGTCTTCTTGTAGACGTCGACGAGACCGTTGAACTGACGCTCACCGTTGCCCTTGGCGGACTTGGCGTCGTTGGCGAGACGGGTACGGGCGTAATCCAGAGAGTAAACGAAGAGGAGGGAAGTGGCACCAGCAGCCTGTTCGTCTGATTAGTGACTGCCCGTCTTCAAAACACTCGTGTAGATCGGGAATACATACACCACCGGAGGCAAGGTTACCCATCATCCACTTGGCGTATCCATCACGCTCCTTCTTGTAGGCGAACATAGACTTGTAGGTGTCACGGAAAGCGAAGTTGAGGGCCTGGGTAGGGAAGTAACGGATGACGTTGGCAGTGTTACCTCTCCAGAGAGAGACAACACCCTCAGCGGCGGCGGTACGACGGAAGCAGTCGGCGATACCGTTGTACTTGCGGTCGAGACGACCAGCGCGGAGCATCTCATCCTGGTTCTGGATGAGGAGCTTGATACGCTCGATGGGGGCAGCAGCAGTCTTGGAGACAGCAGCGGAAACACCACCCACTGTGGACAGTAGTTAGTATCATTGATCCATAGATAGCAGTCGATAATGTGGTGTCGTTGATTAATGGATGAGAGATCGATCATTGGGTGGCGATCGATCCATGGGACCTGGGATTTCACATACTCATGAAGTCGACGACGAAGCCCTGTAAAATTTTTTTATTAGCATTGCGTTCCATCAAGAATGAAGCAGATCGACCAGCATTTCGAAACCCCGACCCATTCGACACAATGCAAGCTCATTTCGACTCATTCAATGCCATTTCGAGTTGGATATCGAAGGGCGCGTGATGCGAAAAAACTGGTCGACTGTCGAGCGGAGGGACAGGTAGCAACTTACGGGCATGCCGAAGACCGACTTGTCGGCCTGGTTAACGTCACCGTTGGCCATTTTTACGGCTGTGAGAAACGAAAACTAAACAAAAAAAGAGAGGAGAGAGATAGTGCCAGACAAACAGGACACTTCACGGGGGGATGGGGGAAAGAAGAGAAAGAAGAAGGGAAGGGAAGGGAGAAAAAATAGCGAACCGAGGGCTCTTGTAAGCGGGAAGAAGCGAGCGGAGACGCTAGGACTCTCTTGGGTCTCTTTCTTTTTGGGGGGGGTGGGAGGGAGGGAGAAAGGGAAATTTGTTTCGCTGGCCTGAATGTGCAGTCAAAGCAATGGCAGCGGCGGCGAACAGCGGCCACACTAGTCCACTTTGAGAAGGCTATCTGGGTGCCGGTCCGGAGTAGGGAGTTTTCCCATTGTACTTACAGTAGGGGAAAAGGGAGAAAAGGGAGGGAGGGAGGAAAGGAGGCGGCGGGTCTACCGGCCACCAAGGAAAAAAAAATTTAGAAAAAGTGAAAAAAAACTGGGTCCGGCGCTAATGCTGGCCCAGGCAACCAGAGCCGATATCTCCCGATCGCGCCAGTAACCGTCCCGACCGCTGATATGAGAAGAGGAAAAAGAGGGAAATCTCTCACTGTTGAGTTATTTATGGAGCAGAAGCAATCGTCCCTACGTACTCCGTACTCTTACAAGTATCAATTAATTTCATCCAAGACTAACTATTCAGTTGGATTGAGACTTGTCCACTACCAGGACATAGTTTAATGAAGACATGACAATTTGTTCTGTAGAATGCCAATGCCCAGAGCCTCAGTTGGAGATTCCATATCGGGACCATCGGCGCCCCCAAAACAACAACAATCCTCCTCCTCATAATAATAACAAAGAGACCGGTCACTTGCTGCCTTAGTGCCTCGTCAGCGATTCCGCCCGTCTTCACCGAACCAACTTTTGTCCGCGTGCAGCAGCAGCAGCAGCAGTCGCAGTAGCAGCCGCCGCCGCCGCATAACTAACACAAGTCGAGACGCATATCCCTTTCTCCAACTCCTCCCGGTTACCCGATGGCAAATTTCCTTCCTTTGGATTCTGGTTCCCGGAAAAACTTGTCTTTGCTCGGGCCAAGGAGAAAAATCTGACCTTCCCTTAGTCCTACAGCCTCATCATTATTTACTACTCGTACTATGTATCTACTCTGGAGTATACGTAGAAGTCTGATTCGTATACTTTCATTTAAGCGCGTGCACCGACTTTCGGCTGTCATCCCGCGTTTTCCCCCCGTCATTCGCTCCGTCCGGAGGATACTAAGGCTCGGAGAAGTTGGGCCAGGCCGCCAGAGGCACGGGAGTGAATAATGAGAAGTCTTTTCACTCGGTAATGCGGAGGTGCTAATAGGTTCCAACTTCTAGGACCTGGGGCAGATTTACATCGGTATCGAGTATTGAAATTGTCAACTGTTTGATTCTTACTCAAGTTCTACTATTATTGGACCTTTTTCCATCCTTGAGTTAGAGAAATCTGTGCAGAGTCTTCCGGATCCGGATCCGTCGCATATCAAATAGTCCTCCGTAGGGTTGCTTATCGCTGCCTCCCATGCGCTTAGGGAAGACACGGGTTCAACTACGAAGCTTAAAAACAGAAGAAACAATGTCCAATTGGGTCCACATTAATGAATACTAGACCCCCTACTCTCTCGCCATGATGATATCCACTTTTTTCGCCTCTTCTACTGAGTACAGGACACTCCAGTGTACCAGATTGTGCCCTCACGCAGGGGCCCACAGGGCCTGAGAGTCTGCTGCGTCGGGATGATAACCTAGCCCAGTCTGGGAAGTCGATGTACACGACTCACCCTAAAGAAGTTCAATCACACTCAGCCAGGTACATTTAAAGAGCTTATTTATCATTGTCCTGAGCGCTCGGGATCTTGTATGCATACACCAATTTGAAGACATCTTCAATTGTGCATTCAATCGCCTGTTGCAGCCCTAGCCGAGTAAAACGGTACCTAGATCATACAAAGCCACCTTGAAGCTTGTCCAATGCAATGTTTACAGCCATATGCAACGAAGTAGGTATATCTTGCATCTAAAATCTATCAAAACACGGATGTATCGCTAAGAACTTTTCTGAACTGAAACCATTCAAGACAAGACAACGATCTTGTAATGACATACATGCTCAAGACTGTAGCTCGGTTAAAGCATTTAGTGCTTCTTCGACCTCTTTCTCTTCTTCTTCCTGGGCTCACCATCGCGGATATCAACCTTGCCCACATCTTCCTTGTCTGCCGTAGGGGCCTTGGGAGCCTCATCAGAGATTCTGGGGCCTTCTTCATCACCGAAGGTGTCCTTGCGCCATTGCCTAAGGCGAGCCTTCTTGCCCAACTTCCTTTGGTCCTTGTACTTCTTCTCCGGGTCACGGAATGACGCAAGTTTCTTTAGGCCTGCAAACTGGTTGAGTTGGTTGTCATCGGCCATGAGAATATCCCGAGAAGTAAGCCCAAAGCTTTGAGGCGAGGTCTCGCGGTAACGGAATCCGGTTGCGTTCTTCTTGGTAGCTCCAGGAAGCAAGCTGATATCCAGGTCCAGATTGCGGTCCACGGCTTCCTCGATACGCATGCGATCCTTGCGGGATTCGCGCTTTTGATCTCTCCTCTCCTGCGCCTTGCTCTTCTTCTTCTCTCCCTCCTGCTCATCCCCCATTTCAACGTCCGAATCGGCCACAGCGGGCACCTCTTCCTCCTCATCGAAGTCTGGCACGAGATCCTTGATATCGATATCATCGTCCCATGTGGGCTTCTTGGGGTGCTTCTTGCCATCGGGGCCAGTTTCGGCATAGTAGTCCTCGCCAAACCGTTTCTGCATTTCGGCCTCCCAATCCTTGTCATCCCAAGCATCGTCCAGGAAGCGGACCCAATCTTCATCCGTCAACTCAGTTCCATGGATGCCGGCAACCTCCTTGATCTTCTCAACCTTCTCCTGCAGTTCTTCCATCTTCAGCTTGCGAAGTCGGTTCTTCTCAACTTCGCGCTGTTTCTTTTCCTGCTCTTTCTGCTCTCGCTCCGCATCTCTGCGCTTCTTTCTCATGCTCTTTTCCTCTCTGCGGACAGACTGCTGGTTGGTAGCGTCACGAGAATGCGTCATGAGAGTAGCATTCATCTTGCTGGGATCCTCAAAGCGGAAATTGTATGCCTCCTCGAATGCTTCCGCACGCTCGTCCTCTTCCTCGTCGTCGGACTCGAATGGCTGCAGCTCCGATCGGCCAGCCGGAATCCATGCCCTTGCTGACAGGAAGTTTGACAAGAACGTCTCCGGATCCTTGTCCGCATTCTCAATGTCCAGATTTGCATCAGTCTTAGCTTCGGGGAAAGACTCGGGCTTGGATTTAGCGACAAGGAAGTCATCTTCCTCGTCCTTCTCGGATGCATCCTCGTCACCAACAGCAGCGTGCATCTCCTTGACAATGGCGTTCTTCAGGTCGGCCTGCTCTTGGGCATAGGTTTTAGGAGCACTGCTCGTGTCTTCCTCGTCGGCCAAGTTGGCGCCGCTGAGTAGGTTCTCTCGGTGATAATCGCGCAGGGTCATTGGCTTCTCCTTCTTCTCTGTGTTCTGTGGTTGCTCCTCGTCGAGTTTAGTGAAGAACTTGGCATTCGGGTCGTACACGCGAGGGTCTTTGGATCGGATCGCCTTGATAGTGTCCATGATTTCAACATCCACAGCCTCAGTAGCCAGCTCTCCGAAATCGTCCTCTTCTTCATCCGATGATGACTCTTCATCGGAATCCTCATCTTCCCCGTCACGATCACGACGTTTGCCAAGTACCGAAGACTTGCCTAGCTTTGACTCCACTATAGTGATCCAGAGGTTAGGCCAATCGTTGAGAGAATCGAGATAGTGGAGTGGCCTTACGTTGCTGCATCTCTTCTCTCTTCTTATTATGCTCAAAGCGACGAGCGTAATCCTCATTGATCTTGAAAACGACATCCTCGTTGCTGATAGGAACGCCACCAGATTCACCTTCCGAGTCGCTGGAGCTGTCATCCAGCAACTTGCGCGACTTCTTAGATGGAGGCGCCATCTTTTCTCAGGAAGAAACTGCAAGTGACTTGAATCCTGGAATGTTGCTCTGAGAATAGGATTGAATGAGTTCTCCGCCGCAGGGGAAAAAAAAGGCGGTTGCCGGCAGAAAAAAAAGGCTCCACCCTGACCGCCCTCCTGGACCCATCGACCCCGTTCTGCCTGATTAACCAGGCTGCGGGACAAAGACACTGACGTAGCCAATTAAATCATGCGCGGTCCTGTATCCGCCTAGATGGTCAGAGGCACTCGATCTCCTAAAGCTCCCCCCCTCCACTGCGACATAACCCCCTCCTATCCCTTGCTGCTATTCTCCTCATTTTTTTTGGATGCTGCTTACTTGAATTGATACCCATGGTAACTTGGGATCGAATCTCTGTCAATTCTCCACGTTATTCTCGCTCGCATCGGTGTATGGCTGGTGACATACACTAGATGTCGACTCAGCCGCAGATCCCATTACCCCAGGTTGGGAAGCTTGTCAGTGTGGTGTGAGTATTCGACGCTCTGCCATTCCATCTAATGCGCTTCAAAGCTCCAAAAATGTGTACCATCTAACGTTTTCTTTCTCTCCAAGTCCGGTCGGTTTAAAGGAGGCTGCACTCGATTCCCCCACGTTCCGTGCCGCCGCTCTTCACTTCTCCGACCAGATCGAATTCCTCGAGAGATGGCTCGATGGCTATGCGAAAGCCACCTCCAAGCTCGCCACAGAACTGGCGGCAATAGAAGGCGCCGTTAGCGTCTTTCTGTCCTACTCCACGAATCCTTTAATGGTCTCCGAAGCCGTCTTGGACCATGATTACACTCTACAGTCGATGCGGAGATGTGGTGACAGCTCAAAGGACATGTGGAACGGATTAGTGTCTACTGTCAAGAAGCTGGAATCTTTCGTCTCCGAACCCATAAGGGCATTCATTCAGGAGGACTTGCGGAACTTCAAGGTAATAAATATGGGGCCCCTTAAATTAAGGATCCGTTTCTGACCCCCGCTCAAGGAGAACCGTCGCACGCTCGGCGAGACACAGAAACAGTACGACTACTTGCTGGCCCGGTATTCGTCACAGTCCAAATCCAAAGAGCCCTCGGCGCTACGGGAAGATGCCTTCCAGCTTCATGAGGCCCGCAAAGCCTATCTCAAAGCATCGATGGATTTCTCAATTCAAGCACCTCAGCTGCGGAACGCGCTTGACAGGTTGTTGGTTCGCGTCTCCTTTGATCAGTGGCGAGAGCTCAAGACCTTCCATACCAACAATGGTAGCTCATTCGCAAAGTGGGCTCACGAAATGGACCGCATCAAGGGCTGGGTGCACGAAATGGATGGAAATGAGAAGTCTGCCAAGCGGGAGCTTCTGGCTTCTAGGAAGCAGATCGAGGAGGCTGCAGAAATCGCAGCTAGGCCATCTCGTGAGTTAGATGATTACTCTGTATCCACAGTCCCATACCTTGGCTCGCGTCCTCTGTCGATAAATAGCATGTCGAAAGAGGCAAGACCTGAGAAGCAAGGGTGGTTATATCTTCGGACTCTCTCGGGTAAACCTACACGCACTGTCTGGGTTAGGCGCTGGTCCTTTCTGAAACACGGTATCTTTGGCTGTCTCGTCCAGGGCACTCGCACCGGTGGTGTTGAGGAGAGCGAACGTATTGGTGTCCTACTCTGCAGTATTCGACCGGCTTTTCAAGAAGACCGGAGGTTCTGTTTCGAGGTCAAGACGAAGAGTAACACCATTATGCTCCAGGCTGAGACACAGAAAGACCTGATGGATTGGATTGCCGCCTTTGAGGCTGCTAAGCGCAAGGCTCTCGAAAATCCATCGAGCACCGACCTCTCCGTGTCCGGCAAAGTCACTGTTCAGGACCCTGCTTTTGCAATTTCTCAACCCCCAGCGCCGGAATTTGCCGCTGATCCTGCCGACTCTCTCACGCCTCATACAAGCGATGAGCAGGGCTCGTCCGATCGCATTGGGATGCTCTCGCTGCCAGAGAAGGATCCGTCTGCTCTTCGCAACAGTAGCGACTTCAGCAGCTACCGGAGGTTGACGACACTGGACTCTGACAGCCCTGCCCGCGAACACACTTCACGTCTCATGCAGAAGCTGGATCTTCACCGCAAATCAAATAATAATACAGTGCAGTCCTCGCAATCTATCCCCGGAGTCGCAGGCGGGATTGCTAGTCTCATCACCGCAAGTCATAGTGCTATTGCTTCTGGAAGTACTCTACCCGTTGACCCCGATGGGACTAGATCCCGTAGCTCGACTCTTGGTAATGATTCTCCCACAACCCTTGCCCCGATGACGTTGGCCAACCCCCCTGCTCCGACCAGTATGAGCAAGGCTGCTGTATTCGTGAGCAATGAACGTGGTATAGGACTCGGTCAAATCGACAAGACAGGTGGAATGCCCAGCGGCATGATGGCGAACTTGTGGGGTAGCTCCAATTGGGGCTTCTTGAACAGGTTTGAGCCTGAGCGACTGGGACTGCCGGCCGATCAGGACCCGGACAAGCCACCTGCTCAAACGAAAGATCCCTCTAAACAATTTCTGATCGCAGAAGCCGACACTTCGAGTGGATCTGTCACGCCTAAACCACAGAAGACCGGGTCGCGCCATAGACCGACGGTGAGTTTGGACGGCGACTCGTCTAAAATACAGCAAGCGCTCATGGGTGATTCGCACGACTACCCTAGCTTCTATCCACCGCAGCTTAAAATTCATGATGCCCAATTCCGACTGCTTTTCCCCGATATCAAGAAGGATGAGCCTTTGGTTATGGTATTCCGGGCCACATGGAGCCCGAACGACCAGCAAGATTTCCCTGGGAGGGCTTATGTCACAACCCAAAATATCTATTTCTACAGCCACCACTTCGGTCTGGTACTGACGACAAGCATATCTCTGGAAAGCATTAAAGAGATCACTGCTGCTACTGGTAGAGATTGTGACTTTTTGTTTGTACACCTGATACCTCTTCCTGGCGACGACACACCAAGTCGTGGAACGATTAAAACCTTCCTGGAGCCACTAAGACTCCTTCAGAGGCGACTCAACTTCCTTATACACAATATGGCGGCTGCCGAACCTCTGGGACTGGAAGCCATTTTCAAGACTTTGATCAGAATGGAGACAGAGGCAATGACACGGACACCAAGCCTGGATAGCTGGGAGGACGTGGGCGCTGGGGGCGACAAGAACGACCTCAGTGATGCGCCGACAGGAGGCTCTAAGAAGGACTCTCGCTTACCTATCTACATTGACAATGACCTCAACATGCACAAAAAGCACGGCAATGGCAAGGACATTCCAAAGTTCCGACTTCCCACTCAGCCTGTTCAGTATGTTCCCCAGGGGAATCTTCACTTGGCTGCAGAGAAGGTGTTCGACATCAGTCCTAAAGCAGTGTTCCACATCCTCTTCGGGGATAAGAGTGCTGTGTGGCAGCTGCTTCTGCATCAACGAAATGCTCAGGGTAAGTTATAGCCGAGTCCAGTCCGGCGCTTGCTAAGATCGTCACAGGTATCAAACAAGGGCCCTGGACCAGACATGAGTCCAATCATCTAAGGCGGGACTTCAACTACTCAATTGAGACCACCGATATTCTAGGTAAGTATTTTGGCTTCCCTGGACGGGTTACGCCTGGTCTGACAATCAGTAGGGGCCAAGCATAGCCAAACCATCTCAGATTACCAAATGATCGACGTTCTCAATGACCACCTTTGTTACGTCATCACGGACAAACGCACTCCCTGGCACCTCCCATTCAAGCGGTCCTTTAGGTTGGTCAGCAAGGTTGTGATTACCTTTGTCGCTAAGGGCAAGAGCAAACTCTCTATCTACACGAAAGTGGAATGGCTATGGTCTCCGTATGGCCTGCAGAGTGAGTTTTTTGCTGGGAACATACAAGGCACCGCTAATTATCTCAGGCATCGTGGATAAGAGTGCAAGCAGTGACTTGGAACAAGACGCGCTAGACCTCGTCGACCTCGTAGGTGACCAGGTTCGCAGACTAGGCGCACATAGTCGAACGAAAAAGGCCATCACGATCTTCGGCCATGTCGGGCGTCAGAATTTCGCCTCGCAGTTCTCACCTTCCGGGGACTTGAAGCTGGAATCACGCAAGCCTCGCGTCCAGAGAAATATGGCTCACCTTTTGTTCGAGACGTTCTTATCCTTCCTGGAGAGTGCTGTGTCATCCCTCCTCATGTGGACAGTTGCTTTCCTACGCTGGTCATGGAAGACCACCAATGCGCATACAGTGATCTTGTCCCTACTATTGGCGAGCGTGCTAATAAATGGGTTCTATTCGTCACGAGTTGTTCATGAATGGTGGGATGACAGGAGTATTGGAAACTTCATGGCCCGCATTGGAGTCGGTCCCGATAATGTGATGAGTAGAGCTATCTATATGAGGGATATCGACGAGGCCATTGCGAACATAACCGTCGGGCGCGGAAGCGGCAACGTAAGTGACTGCTTCGCGACGTTCCATCAACAGACCTTGCGCGAGCCAGGGACGGCCTTGTCTTTGGGGTCGGCTGGTTTTAGAGACTCCATGACCAAGAGCGCAGCTCGCAGGATCCAACAGACCCGTGAACGGCTGGCTACCTACCGACACAACCTCCTAGTGGCTCTTCGAGTGGTAAATAGCATCGAACGAGAAGTCATCCAGAATGAGTGGGAGCGGTGGCTTCGACAGGAACTACGCCGCTGTCGCCAGGTCGGGATCCTCCTCGGCCAGAATGATGACCTTGATGATGCCGAAATGGAGGGGGAGCGAACCAACTCGAATGCGTTCGCCAACCTGAGTGGCGACGTCAAGCAATGGTACGGCATGTACTGCTCCAGTTGCCAGGCCGAACGGTCACATATCGAAGACGATCATGCTTTCGGTGAGCTTTAGACATCCATGGCCGGTCTTGCTTGCGTGGTGCCAATTCTCTTCTTTCATGTGCCCTTCTTTCGTCCCAGGCTGAAACAATACCCGACAATGCGAGGCGATCTGTTTTATATCAATTGTATCTCTCCAGAAGCACGGTTGTATCTTTGTTGCCGTTCTCAGCGCATGTATATAATTTTGGTCGGGTTTGGGCTGTAATAGTATAAATTGGACGAGACTCTGCTGTGCTGTGCAAACCGGTGGTAGACCGTTCCCTGTCCTCGTCGTCGTCGTCCTTCATCTTTTTTTTTCGCGTTTGTCCAGCCAGCTGCAAACCCCAAACCCATGCATGGGCCCCCTTCTCTCCAACTGGCAAGCAGAGAACAAGACTCGGGAACGAGAACGGTATCAATTCTGTCTCGGCTTCACCGCACCATCCTGCACAACATAATAGACCACCGTACTATCCCCACCCATCTGCCTATCCACCATAGCGAGAAGCATCCTCTTCCCACCCCACTCCCTAGTGGCACGGGCCTGTTTCCGATACCGGTAATATTCCTTCAACTTGTCCGCCTTGCTTCCGCCGCTACCATTATTGCTGCCGTTATCATCCTCGCCCACTACCACCCCCGCCTCATCCTCAACTTCACCCCCTAGATCCCCAGGATCCTCCGCCTCCGGTAGCGCGTCAAACACCCCGGCCAACCGCCGGAGACTCCACGTGTGGCCCTGCACGGTGGGGAGGACGAACATGCGTTCGAGCTCGAGGTCCTCCTCGCGGAGCCCGCGTTCGAGGAGGTAGAATTGCTCGTCCGGGTGGGTGTAGAGGCGGTGCGGGGGGATTCCCGAGATGAGGTTGATTTTTTCGGTGCGGGATTCGGTGGATGTCGGGGCAGTAGGGACAGTGGATGGGAGCTCGTGGATTTGGAGGGAGGTCCAGAGGTGTTGGTGTTGAAGGTTGTGGAGGACTTGGAGGGTGAGGGCGGAGGTTTTGGGGTTGAGGTTGAGGTTGAGGTTGAGGTTGAGGTTGAGGTTAGAGCTTGGGGTTGTGGTGGGGGTTGAGGATGATGGTGGTGATGTTGATGCCGGTGTTGCGTAGGAGGTGATGAGGGTTGTTAGGGCGGAGGGGGTGGTTGTTGAGGTCATGGTTGTATGTGTCTGTCTGTCGTGCTTGGTGTTGCGCGCGGCTGAAGATGGAGGAGTGTAGAGATCGCAAGGCGGGAGGTGATACGGTGATTGGTGGAGGGGAAGTTTGTGTGGTGCGTGTGACGAGATTGGGTCTGTTGGATGGTTAGAGTCAATTGTAGTGAATGCGCGACAATTGCTTCCAAGCTCAATCTGCACCTATACAAAGTGGAGGATCGGACTAAAAAGTTGGAGAAGGAAATCCCCCCTCGGGCGGGGCGGAAAAAAGGGCGATGGATTCGCGCCGGCCGAAGTTCCGCGGCGCGTTTTTGGGAACGGACGGGGAGAAGAACAGCTGCAGGCAGGAAAGAACAGAACACATGGCATCATCTGAAACACATTTCTATAAAGTTATTTCGAGACCCCCAGTCACTTTCTTTTCTTTCCCTTGCTTTCGAGTCACTCTTTTGAAGTTGTTCTTGTCTCCCAGTATTTATGCGACCTGGTGGAGATTATTTTTGTTTCTGATTCAAATACTCTGTTGGTCCTGTTGTCACAGTCCTTCCACAACTTCGTTGCATTAGTTTCAAGTTACCAGAGACCCAACTGCGCTCGCTTCCTCTGCCAATGGCACGTCAAAAACAAACAGCACCCTTACAACGGGCCACTTCTTCCCAACTCATGCATGTGCCACCGAATGAATCGAGTGCGCAGTCACTCAAGCAGCAGAACGGAGCTGCTGTCGCCCATAATCATGTCTCTGGAGTGAAGGATGCGACGCAAGATACCCCTGGCCTGATGCAGCTTGCTGTCTGCGTTCTGGGAATCTATGCTTCTTTGTATGTGTCTGGGATGATTCTTGACTCTGCGCATTATAGGGAAAACTAAAGCTGACTGCTGCACACCAGTCTGTCATGGGGTGTCCTCCAAGAAGCCATCACCACCGTCTCCTATCCGGTTCAACCTCCGAGCGCTGAGTTGCCCGAACCGCCCACCGAGCGCTTCACATACTCGATTGTCCTGAACACGATCCAATCCACCTTTGCCGCCATCACCGGCTTCCTCTACCTCTTCTTCTCGACTCCGTCCGGACAGAAGGTCCCCTCCATCTTCCCCACGCGGAAGATCCTCTTCCCCTTGCTCCTGGTCAGCATCTCCTCGTCGCTCGCATCCCCCTTCGGATATGCCAGTCTCGCGCACATCGACTACCTCACCTTCATCCTCGCCAAGTCGTGCAAACTGCTCCCGGTCATGTTCCTCCACCTGACCATCTTCCGCAAGCGCTACCCGCTCTACAAGTACGGCGTGGTCCTTCTGGTCACGCTCGGCGTCGCGACCTTCACGCTGCACCACCCGGGCACGAGCAAAAAGGTGGCCGCCTCTGCGGCCAAGGGCCAGTCCGGCTCCAGCGCGTGGGGGATTTTCCTGTTATCGATCAACCTGCTGCTGGACGGCCTCACCAACACCACCCAGGACCACATCTTCACCTCGCCGCAGACCTACACCCGGTTCACAGGCCCGCAGATGATGGTCGCGCAGAACGTGCTCTCGACGCTCCTGACCAGCAGCTATCTGCTGGTGATGCCCCATCTGTCGGCGACGGGCCTCCTGCACAACCTCCTGCCGTTCCCGATCCCGCCGTCCACGGAGACGGAGCTGACGGCCGCGATCGGGTTCCTGTCGCGCCATCCGGAGGCGCTGAAGAACGTGCTCGGGTTCGCGGCGTGCGGGGCGGTCGGGCAGCTGTTCATCTTCTACACGCTCTCGCGGTTCTCGTCGCTGTTGCTGGTGACGGTGACGGTGACGCGCAAGATGCTGACGATGCTGCTGAGCGTGTTCTGGTTCGGACACTCGCTGTCGGCGGGACAGTGGCTGGGGGTGCTGTTGGTGTTTGGCGGCGTCGGCGCCGAGGCGGTCGTGCAGCGACAGGAGAAGAAGGCCAAGGAGAAGACGCGAGCTGCCGCTGCGGCCACAAAGAAGGAGTAGTCACAAGCATCCTGCTCGAAGGGGGTGTCCATCCGCCATCAAAGTTCCCATTTCACGATTGTACATATCAAGTTTAGAAATCATCATCTCCATAGACCTATGCTTGCAATCCATCACTCAGCATATCATCACCGCAGTGGTATCAAGCCCTTCCCCTCATCTTGTCATCAATCAAGGACATCTTCCTTATTCCAACCAACCACATAAAATCTACTTCCTCCCCTCAACCATGATAATATGATACCCAAACCCCGTCTTCACCTCCACATACTTGGGATTCGCCGTCGTACTCGGCTCCAGCTCGTACGCCGCCTTCTCAAAGTCCCCATTCAAGCTCCCGCGGACCTTCCACCCCAGGGATCCACCTTTTGTGTTGAGGATGTGTCAATACAAACAGGATCAGATCCATAAGGAGAGAAAGAGAAACATACCCTGCCGCGCCTTATCCTCCGACATCTCCCGCGCGACCTCATCGAACTTGGCCCCGTTGCGGAGTTTCTCTAGCGCTTCTTCTTTCTTGGAGTGTTTCTCGCACTGTTGAGAGTGAGTTTAAGGGTTAGTACGCTGGGTAGGGGATTTCGGGGTGGCATATGTATCTCTCCTCTCTTTCTGATAAGGAAGCTAGGACGCTGACGCTGCCGCTGAGGGGAGGAAGCGCAGCCTGGTTGCGATCCCGCCTCATGCGTACATATCCAACTTGAACTTGAAAGATAGGGTGTAGGTGTGTGTGGGTCATTAAGTAGCTACTACCCCCCCTCTGCCCCAGATCCAATAAGCTACAGACATATGAATAGTCAATACGTACAAGAATATGCCGCACGTTGATCGCCGTCGCGGGCTTGAGGCCTTTCTTGTCGCCGCCGCTGTCTTTGCCCTTTTTGTCGCCGCCGCTGCCTTTGTTTTTACCCATGGTGTTGGTGTCTGAGGAGTGGAGCTGGGATGTTTAATGACGTGAAGTGTAGTGGGGATGAGGCAGAGGCAGGTTGTTTGTGGTTGTTGGGAATGTTGGAAGTTGAGGTGGTGGTGGTGGTGGGGAAGCAAGGTGAGGATGTGGGGGTTTTGGTGCCTGAGGTTCAAGGTTTGATGCTGCATGTACTGTATTTGAAGGTTGATTGGGGTTGGTTGGGGGATTCTGGGTGTATAGGTTAGACTTAGCCTGGGGTCTTTGGGCTAGTGGTTTATCGATTATTGGGTATATTGTAATCCAATGTAGTTGGGAGAGTTATTGGATGTGGACAGGTTGCATATGGTGTACGCTGTTAGATATGCGTAGCTGGGTTTCCCCTCCAGGCTATTTTCGGGGTCGGGTTCGAGGGCCGGAGGTATGTAGATGTTTCTATAGAAGTGTACCGACTATCGACGTCGACAGCATACTACGAAAGGTGGTCTACTATTGAGATTTCCAGAATAGTTACTGACACACAAGACGAGTACATGCAGAATTGCGAGGTAGGACTATATCCCGTACAACCTTACTTTGTTCCTCCAAACCGCTGGAGAACCGGATCAATATATCCAGCCCAGTATGTAAGCTCAGATCGATCAACAATTAGCCGGCAGTAATTTAGCATTAATAGAACCCAGAAAGCTCGATTTAGCTTCTTCAGCACTTACTTCACAACATAGTATACCGAGTACACCCAAAGTCAGAAATCATGATGTCATCATTCTCCCTGAAAAGTCGCCCAGTTCACCAGATCGAGTCATGTTCATTCATGTGAGTCCTTCCATTGTCAATAAGACATCGTGTTCTATCCCGCCTATTGAATCACCTGATCCCAGGGGGCAGAGTACTCGTAACCTCGAGTCCACTGTCTCTCAAACAAAGAAACCCAAACTGCAGCCTGCAGCCTCCAGCTGCAGCCTGCCATATCTATTTTTCCAAGAAGTCCGCCTCCGCTCTCCGCACTCGGGATTCCGATTGACCCCTCATCCGCAAGCTAAAAGTAGTAACAAGGCGAGGACGGGAGTAAATTTAGGACAGAGGATTCTAACCAACCACTGACTGCACTTAGGAGGTCGGACGTTTTTTCTTTATTTCTATTTTCGGAGACGTCCAATTCTCTGTCTGCATTGAGCTTTTCGTACTCGTACTCGTACATGCGATTGCTCTCATGCAGTGACAGCGTGTCCGAAAGTTGTCGAGTTGTCGAGTTTTGAAACGGAAGGTGTACTACGAGTACTCTGTACCTGAACCAGATGGGGGAGCTCGAGAGGGCCCGCATCAAGCAATTGCCATCGGATGCCTTCTACATTGCCGACTTCATCTCGGAGGTGGAGGAAGCCCTTTTGCTCCAGAAGGTTTGTTCCTGAATATAGTCACATATTTAGTCCTTACTTAGCTGAGTCATATGGTACGTGTTATGATTTACGATTTTCTCTAGATCGGTACCGCTCCCCTACCGCGCTGGACGCATCTCGCACATCGTCGCCTTCAAACCTGGCCATCTGCTTTGACCAAGACCAACACCCTCGTTGCCTCTCCGCTTCCCTCCTGGCTCGTCTCACCCATAGTGACCCCGCGCTTCGATGCCCTCAACATCTTCCAAGATGCCCCGCACGGCGCCCCGAATCATGTCCTGGTGAACGAGTACTGTCCCGGGCAAGGGATCATGCCTCATGAAGACGGCGCAGCATATTACCCGCTCGTGGCTACTGTGAGCCTCGGAGCGCCGATCGTGCTGGATCTGTATGACAAGCCCACGGCCGACACTAAAGATGGCTTGGATCGCCAACCAAAATATCGCATCCTGCAATAGCGACGTAGTCTGCTGGTCACCACGGACGGGATCTACACGGACTTCTTGCATGGGATTGCGGAAACCGACAGGGACGAGCAACTCAGTGCCGGTTACATCTGCAATTGGGGCTTGCTGAGGGAGCCCGAACGGTACGAATGTGGCTGGTCTCAGAGAGGAACTAGGATCAGTCTAACTTATCGTGACGTGCTCAAGGTCGCGAAGCTGGGAAGCACAATGAAATTCTTGAATAGACGATAGTCCGGGTTGCAGACAACTTCGACGTTTAACCTAGAATCAGTACATGCCAGGAATCATATTCCACTTCCCTTGCATTGAAATTCTGCCGAATTTCTGGATATACCATCGTCGGGTGTTGGCCGTTGTCAGACCAAGGTTGATGGCCACAAAGGCCATAGCCGCCAGAATCGTCTTATTGATGGTTTCCCCCTGCGGAGCGGCTAAGAATGCCAGGGACAAGTAGATGACACACTCTGCCGTATAGTGCGGGCATACAAGCCTGTGGAAAAGAGGGTGAGTCGGCAGGGTATACTTCTTTAGGGAGAAGAGATAGTGGTGAGCGTCGTGCTGGAGACCGGATGCGAGCAGGAAAATCGGAAGGAAGACGAAGGTGCGGAGTGAAGGGGCTATGGTGACCTTCACATCATCAAGGGCAATTGGGCGGGCCAGAAGCGTGCCTGTGGCATGATCAATGGGACTTTCTCTCTTGTGTTGCGCCATGCGTTGGGGGGGAGGGGTTGCTGTACCTGCTCCTTCAGCCCACACCGCAACCGACATCCCCAGGTAGAAAGCAAGGCCTACGAGCCAGTGAATAAACCACATTCGAGACGCGGATGGCCTCGAGAACACGAAGCACTCATACAACCGCCTTACCCCCTGGAGAAGCATGCACACCCAACAAAGCAAGATTTGGTTTATCGTCATGGACCTCTGCAGGTGATCTGGGCTGACCCTCGTTGCAAAGGCCTGGAACGCAGCGCCACGGCAAAGGAGCTGCACGCCCCAAAAGACCGAGGCTGCCATGGAAGCGACATAGAATTGCGTGAAGTAGCTGTGAGGGACTCTCAGGGAGGCAAGGTAGTCGAGGATGCGTGTTGTTACTGGGGATGACGAGGGTGAGGAGGAGGAAGTTGTGGACGCTGGGGTAGAGGGGGGCTTCGAGTCGGTTGATGTTGCACGAGCGCCATAAATAACGAAGCGCGAGTGCAACGAGTCCGGCAACAGGCTGACCGACAGAATCTAAGGTTTCTCAATTTAGTTCATTCTCAACGGACCGTGTCCAGAGCGTGCAGCATCGTCTCCGACTGTTGTCTGCCTCGGCTTCTCGGATGCTTCGGCTGATCATACCGTACAAGATGCGAGGATGAAGAAGGCTCGAAGGGCATCGATAGCGTCCATGTGCGTGGAGGCAAGCGCTGTATCCACCAGGCCGGCGAGCATGTCCATTGCGACCGGTTACTATGTAGTTGTATGGGGTGCGTGTCCGCCACAGGAAGAATGACTGTGGGTGGGGAGTACGGAGTAAGAAGAGGTTCGGCCGGCAAGAATAAGATCAAGAATAAGAAGGACGATAAACAATTAACAAACAGGGTTCGAGTCCAGTCTAGAGCCGATCTGGCTGGTGAGTGGTGTGTTTTGGTTTCAGTCTGGGTTCCAAGTTACTAACTACCTTAGTATACGAGGAAACGGGGACTGCATTGGGGGAAAATCGGGGGCGCGGAGGGAGGCCCTGGTATTATTTGTTGTATGTTACCAGTTTTACCAGCCTGGTACTACAGTACTTTACACACTTGAATGTTCCTGTCATGATGATGCGACACGATCAAAGGTCGAGTGGGGAGAATAAAAACACCGAAACTCCACAGCCAAGGGCTGAGTGAGATGAGCAGTCGTAAATCATAAACAAGCAAACCCGTCGGACCAGAAAGGAAGAAAGGATTTCGGCGGTTGTTTGATCCACTCAGGGTCTCGTGATGTCAAAGGTGAAGAGGGAGAGCATCAAGGGCTGAAGAAAGCGACCTCCTTGGTTACGGGGATTGTACGGCGGATGAAACATGTCGCCCACATTGTCGGTTCTGTAAGGATGTTACAGGATACGGAGAAAGAGATAGCCTGAGGGAGTGTCAACAACAAAGATCTTCTCTCCTACGGTCCTACCTCTCCTCCCTCCGCCATCCACCATCACTGCAACACCAGTCCTCGATCAAAAAGGGTCCTACTCTTCCTGCCAGCATTCCGGATCGTCAGATGCCGGCTGTTGACGGAGGGGTAAAAAGAGACCCCCTCCTCTATCTTTGACGTCTTGGGTGCTTGGTTGGCTCTCACACCCTCTTTTCTCCCCCATTGCTGTGTGTCGACTCTCTTGCTCCTGCACAAGCAAATCCGAATTCCATGGACTGGGTTCAGACTAATAATAAATTATCTATACAAGACCAAGCGAGTCATCCAGTGCAGTGAAAGAATAGAAATGGAAGAAAAGAAAGAATAATAATAATAAACTGGAAAACAAGAGAACAGCAAGAAGTTCAGCCAGTTAGCCAAGTTGTGCGAGATGAGTGGGGCGATAAGCCGGAAGAAAGAGGGACATTGACTGGTCTTGCCAGGAGGAGAAGATCGCTGAAGGACGAAACCTTCTAACCCGCATGCGGCAACCGGCGGGCTACTCACTGTCAATCATTGGAGGAGCCGAGGGGGGCAAGCGGATGGCTAGCCTGATAGCCTACGCCAGCTTCCAGGGAACTGCCACAAATCCGTCACTCATTCCCACCCTCCGTTCCAGAGCTTGCCCGAGTTTCAGTCGCTGCAACGCCGTCCGTCCAAAAAAGGGCTAAAAAATGGAAAAAAAAAGAATCGCCCGTCCAAAAAAATGCCAGACAAGGTCGAATGATAGGGAAGAGAAGGGGGAAAAAAGGAAAGGATCGAGAAAAAGCAAAAAAAAGCAGCAGCAGCAACAACAACAACAAGAGGCAAGCAAAAGAGAAGGCAAGACGTTTAATCAGACCAGTCCGCCACCACTGCATCCATGCTTGCTTGCTTGATTGCTGTCTGTCTGTCTACTACTGTGAGTTCGGAGTACTAGTTATGTATCCTCTTCTCTCTATTAGTTCTCCTTCCAGGCTCCCTTTCTGTTGCTCTTCTGTTGTGTCTTTTGCTTCTTTGACCGCCCCCCCCCTCCCTCTCTCCTCTCATTCCCCCTCCCCTCTCCCCGCTTTTCTTTGGGCCTTCTCGCAGGCTTGGTCCAAATCGAAGAAAAATGGACGGATGAATGGATGAATGGATGTTGCGGCTGCAGCTGGACTCGTCCGGTCGATTTCGATCAATCAATAATGAATGCTACCTTACCTTACCTACTTCTGTCTTACTGTATTCTTGGTACTGCGACTCTACCTCTGCCTCTGTCTCGTATGTCCGGTACTGTAAATCTTATGGTAACTCTGGCTTCTACGCCGGGAAGACCTGGTAATTGCGGTAGTGGTGGGATTCAAGAAGGAGGATCGTGACCTCTTTCTTTCCTTGATCACCCTTTCTCATTCATCCCACTCATTCACTGCACTCTCCCTCCATACCGGTTGTAAGATTACTGATGACTCTCTTCCACTCCGACTCCCCATCTGCCCAAGAATATACCCATAGTCACTTTCGATGGCGGACTGGCAAGCAGCTGCTCCACGCTGCTAATGCCGGTGGCCAAATGGCAAAAACATCGGTGGTAAGTTAGTATTCTGGGGGCGAGACTGACGAACATCACTGATAATCGGTAATTATCGGTAATCCCTCGTAATTACCCCAATCCAGAATGAGTCAATATTACCACCAGCAATCAGCATCATCGACAATTATTATTAGCATACTCGCATTATCGACAGCATCAACATCACCAACATCATCGTCCTCATTGACCATCGCATCCACTTCAAATTAGATTAGCCTCATTTTTACCCTCGATCATATCTGTTATGAGTATGATCCTGGAGGGCGATGACCTAATAGAGGATTGACGGAATCTCAGCTAGTCGCAACCACTCACTGACTAGCCCAACCCGCTAATGACCAGCTAAACTGCTCCGCTCGACGGCGAACTCGTCTTTCTTACCAGTAACCTATTTACCTGCGTAATTTCTCTCCCTCCCCCCCCCCCCCCCCCCCCCCCCCCCCCAGCGAACTTCGCCCGCTCCATCTTCTCCCTCTTCTTAACAACTCTCCTCCCAATTAATCCTTTCTCTTCCCTCATCTTCTTTTCCCCCTCCCCCCCTCCCACCTCAATTCGCTCAACTTTTCTCAATCCTCCTTTCGTTCCCCCTATCGAACTCAATCGGACCTTCTTCTCCCTTTGCCGACCGTATCTATCCCTCCACGTTCACGTCCTGTCGCCTCGTTCCTCTCTTCATCACCATCACCACTACCTCGCCTCTATTCCGCTTCGCTCTCTTACTTCGGATTATTAGGTCCACCTTGCTGTTCGCCCACGCTCTTTGTTCGTTCACGATATTCTTATTCCCTAGAAGAGAGCACCCAACCTACCGATTTCAAATCAAGCGTGGTCGAGCACCAGCTTTCGCGCGCATCTGCTGGTGTATTTGACCACGGGTCTACCTGTCCGCCACGGCCCCCGAAGATGACGAGCAGAACCCCCAGAAATCGAGTGCTACCGCTATGAGTGATGTCGAGGCTGTCTCCTCCCTGCCAGCTTCCCTGGATGCCGGACAAAACGGTCTTGCTGCCAAGGTGAACCACCAGTCTACCTCGGGTCCGCTATCTCCCAAGAGAGCCCTCTCACCCGTGCCTCGGAGGGAGTATCGTCCGATCAAAGAGGTAGACCCTGCTGTCGGGGACAGTGATGGGCCCCCTAGCCCCAAGGCTGACTCGGAGGCAGAAACCATTATCCAATCGGGCCGTGAATCATTATCGCCTGAAAAGAGACGGAAGTACATAAAACATGAACCGAAACGACGTGATGATGGAAATGACCATGTTGATGCGGCAGAGAGCGATCTCCCTCCCAACGATTTGCAAGTGAGAAAGAGAAAGTTGGTGGATGGCGACTTTATCAACGAACGCGACCGTCATGTGCGCCCGGCGAGTCCTCTCCGTCGGACGGGGTCACCACCCCATGTGAAAGTCGAAAAGACCGATGAGCCCCAATCTGTTTCGAGTCGACTTGAATCATCGCACCCTGCATCTTTTGTTCCTAGGACGTCGAGAAAACGCAGCTTTAGTGAAAGTGTCGACGGGGAGGGAGATGTCCGTCGAAACGCTCGCCCGCACCACCCAGCTCCTTCCCGGGATCGAGAACGACGAGAGCTGAATGGTGTGATGTTGCCCCGCCCCGCGTCAATCGACCGTTCCATATCACCTGTCCGTTCGCACAAGAGAACAGCTTCTGGTCACCAGCTGGGTAGCGATTTGCAGCGGAAGCGGAAAGCTCCTACCCCGCTTCTTCCTGGCGTGCAAAGGCAAAGTTCCGAAGATCGGCAGTCGGTGTCTTCCTCAACTAGCGGATCTCCTATGCCCAGTGCCCACATTCGAAAGGTGGCCTCTGTCGATGGGGCATCTGCTTCCCCTGCCAGACCCACGGGTCACAAAAAGCAACGCGATCAGAACGGACGCACTCGCCTCGCTCGTGCATGTGCTGCACAGGAACTTGAGGCGGCAATCGCTCGACATGCAGAACGACCGGAGGACCTCAATGTCGCCGACAATGCTGGTAACACGCCACTTCAAATCGCCGCCTTGGAAGGCTGCGCGTCCATCGTGAAGTTCCTCCTCGAAGCCGGATGTGAAGTCGAGACTCGAAATATCGATCGTGATACTCCGTTGATAGACGCCGTTGAAAATGGCCATCTCGATGTCGTCAAGTTGTTGCTCCAGGCTGGTGCAAATCCGCGTTCCGTCAATGCTGAAGGCGATGAGCCAAGCGATCTCATTCCGTCGGACTCGGAAGATTACGATGAGATTCGTCGTGTGTTGGAGGAAGCAAAAGCGCATCCACGCCCCAGCCGTCGCTCTGAGGAACAGACTGGATCTGGCACCAGGGAGACGTCTTCGCGGCGAGTGACGGTGGCTAGCCCTCGAGAATCACCCCCGGTTAACGGACAACGCAGCCCGCCCTACTTTGCCAGTACGAACAAACGCAAGAGCGTCAGAAGCGAGGCTACCCGGAATGATCTGCTATGGACCAAAGCTACGCCAGAGAATTTACAAGCCTTCGCCGCCAAGGGTGATATTGCTGGTGTTGCAAACATTCTCAATGTCGGCCAACGGGCAGATGCTGAGTCGATGATCGCAGCGGCCAAGGGTGGTCACGATGAAGTCTTGTCTCTTCTGCTGGGAATGGGAGATGCCGATCCGGACCCGGATCCAGTCCAGGGCGGCTCCCACAAGTTTGGATACAACACGCCTATGCTGGCTGCGATCGGGAGAGGCAATCTTCCCGTGATCAAACTTCTGCTGGACCAACCCAGCTTCAACCCCTCGCGACGACTATATAAGGATCGCACCTATTTTGAGTTATCTCGAGAACGCAGAGCGGACAACTGGGAGGAAGAATATGATCTTCTTCGCGACGCCTATGACAACTATGTACGGAACAGGAAACAGCGTAAAAGCGACATCTCATCTCCGAGGAGGGTACGTGACAAGGACCGAGAGTCCAAGCGATCTGGACGGAAAGACTCTCCCTCCCCAGGGGGCAAGCATCGGAAACAGCTTGGAAGCCCAGTTCGTCGGGACTCATCCAAAGATGCACCCATGAAAGAGCGCAAACGAGAAGCGATGATGCATACGAAAGAGAAGCCTGGCCCTCCTCGTGCCAAGGTGGGACACGTTGCCACGCCTGATCACGACGTTTCTCGTTCCGATATACCCAGGTCGAAGGTAGTGTTGACCAAGGATGGAGACTCTAGCCGGGGCGAAGAGCCTCCCAAGAGAAGACGCTTGATCGCAGGACGGCCACCTGATCGCGATCGCAGGAGGCCTAGCATTCCTTCTTCAGATTCCATGTCCGGCCGTGAGGAAGCTCCTAAATCACGCCCTGATCATTCAGAACTCGTCACGACCAAGCCTGGACCGCCTCCCGTGAAGCGTGGACGCAGCAGCGTCAGTCCCGAGCGACCTAGGTCTCGCGGTTCCGACGCTGATCGGAACCCTCGCGAAGTCTTAAAGAAGAAGCGACGAGTACTGTCGGAAGATGGATCGCCCAACATCACCAACGGAAACCCCAAGAGGAGTCACCCTGCTGTGGAGGATCTGAAGCTTCCTCGTCGCAAAGATGATAGCCATATTGCACCTCAACCTCGGCGAGATCAATCGCGGGAACGAGATCTCTCCGCCAAGGCTGTCGAAAGAAAGCAGGTAAAGGAGGAGCAAGAGAAGCCTGACAATCTTGAACTCGAGGATATCCCAATGGATGACTCGATCAGTCTTGCTCAGGCTGAGGCTGAAGCGGCTGCGCTCCGGGAAAAGCACGCTCAGGAGAAACAAGCTCAAGAGAAGCAAGCCCGAGAGAAGCAAACTCTAGAGAGGCAAGCTCAAGAGAAGCTAGCTCAAGAGAAGCTAGCTCAGGATAAACTAGCTCAAGAGAAACTAGCTCAAGAGAAACTAGCTCAAGAGAAACTAGCTCAAGAGAAACTAGCTCAAGAGAAACTAGCTCAAGAGAAGCAAGCACAGCGAGAGAGGCAAGCTCGCGAAGAGGAAGAAGCACGCCTTGCTGCTGAAGCGGAAAAAGCCCGCCTGGAGAGAGAAGAGCAGGAACGCGCAGCGCGGGAGGCCCGCATTGCCCAAGAGAAAGCCGCGGAAAAGGCTGCAGAGGAAGAGCGGAAGCGGAAAGAGGCAGAGCAGCGGCGAATAAAACAGGCTGAAGAAGAGCGACAGAAGCGGCTTGAACAGGAACGACAGCGACTCGCCAAACTGCGCAAAGAGCAGGAAGAACAAGAACAGCGTCGACGAGACGCTCTACCCAGCCGACTTCGAGTTGCAGCCAACCTTGTTGGATCCGATGATCCGCAAGCTAAGAGCCATGCATGGCTGCGGAAGTTCATGCCTGTTGTGACCGCTGAGACAAGACAACTCGACCCGTCTTGCGCCTCGGAAGTGGCAGAGGATCGATGGATTCCGAACTACCTGGTTGCACCCTTGCTGGCGACGAACGATCTTCAACTATCGCAATATGCCAGTTGGGAGAAGCGCGTCGCAACTCCTACCCAGCGGACGAATCTGTGGCGAGTCACGCGAAGGATGCTTGTTGAAGCAGACGAGACCGAATTTCTCAGTTCGTCATTCGGACAGATCATGCAACGGGATAGCGAAGCACGGCCTAAGTACTTCGACATGGAGCATGTATTTTGGCTGAAGGTAAGCTCCCTTGATGCATCTTGCTGGCTTACTAGTTGCTAACTACAGCAGCTCTCCGATTTCATGGATCTCGTCCCCCACATTCCGCACCTTCACGGGCTTGACATTCAGTTGCTCAAGATGCACATTGATCAAGAGCCTAAGACGCAACCTGCTTTCGAATTGCCGCAGGCCAATGGACATATCTCGGGGCCACATATTGAGGAAGGCCCCGGGTTACTAGGAGGAAATGGGTTGACTAATGGCTATGGGCACAGCCGGCCTAGTACATACGTCTAATTGTTCTTTCAGCTTCAGCGATCATTTAGCTTGGCGCTAGCTTGTACAGGTGAAAACTTGATGTACGACTATGATACCTGATGTGTTATGCTTGGATAGCGTGATATCATGATATCCCGAGATTCTTTACCAGTTGTATGCTACCTAGTAGGGTCCAGTACCATCCACCTGCCACCAACAAGGTTCCGTTCCGGGACTAGTGGGATTCACCATCCGACCCCACATCACGTGCTATCATTTGGCACGTGATTGTTCTCTTACGTAACCCTTATAGGGCACACATTTAGGCGAGCGCAGCGCAAAATTGGCCGCACCACCACCACCACTAGCCTATACAAGAACAACCACCTCGAACTCTTTGAGGATAATCCGACAGACCAGTCTAACTACACAACATACAAAATGGTGAGTCTCGATATGCACCTCGATCCGTTGACTGGATCCCTCCCTTTCCACGAAGGCACAATCCGTAACCCAAAAGCCAAAGCTCAACTAACACAATGCCATGAAAAAAATCTAGTCGGACGGAGAAGAGACCCAATCCAACCCCCCCGTCGCTGCCGATGAGGTCGAGGTTTCGGCTGACGCCGGTGCCGGCGGTCAGATGTCCGTCCTCGATGCCCTCAAGGGTGTCCTCCGCATCTCGCTGATCCACGACGGTCTTGCCCGTGGTCTGCGCGAGGCCGCCAAGGCCCTCGACCGTCGCCAGGCTCACATGTGTGTCCTGAACGAGGGCTGCGAGGAGGAGGCCTACAAGAAGCTCGTCGTCGCCCTGTGCTCCGAGCACAAGATCCCCCTCATCAAGGTTCCCGATGGAAAGCTCCTCGGCGAGTGGGTTGGTCTTTGTACGTTGTCCCTTTGTCCTATATCGTGCAACGCCTTGCTTGGAGGTTTCCTGAGGAGCTTTCCTTTTTTTTTCTTTTTGCTAATACTTCTGTTTGTGTGAACAGGCCAGCTCGACCGTGAGGGTAACGCCCGCAAGGTCGTCAACTGCTCTTGTGTTGTCGTTAAGGACTGGGGAGAGGAGTCCCAGGAGCGCTCCGTCCTCCTTAACTACTTCCAGACTGAGCAGTAAATGTATACATTCTGTTGTATGCATTTGAAACTGACATCCTTGGAGGTGGCAGCGCGCCCAGTAGGGGGGGCGTAGGTGGAGTGCTGTGATCTGAGGATAATTTTCCGGACTTCGGGGGTGATGGCCCGCGCAAATCTGGTTCGATACAACTTGGGTGAATTCGGTTTTATACAGGTTGCATTTGATCTAGGAGGGAAGGGGAATAATTTCCTGTCTTATTTTTTCCTATATCTGTCGGTATTTAGGCGGGTGTGGTGTGCGGGTCATCTCTATCTCCCGTTGAGGAATTTAATCAGATTATGGTGCTCAAATTTCTGGTTCTCTTTTCTTCTTGTAGCATGTGGTTTCATCGGTGAGGTTAGGAGGGAATTTGCTTGGGAGTAGTTCGTGGTGGCTGGCTTCATCGACTTCTACAGCTGAATGGCATCATACTAAGATCCTGTCCTAGATTTCAAAAAATTATGTACGTAGCTTGACAGCTTCTGACATTGCCCCAGGTTTCCCCAATGATTTGCAAAGAAGACAACAACACCGGCTATGCGCATATCACCTCAAATACAAAATCCACTCACCGGAATCCGTAAGACGGACGCACCATCTTTCGTGTCTCGGGATTTAATGATAGTTGCTGGTACGGTGAACTGCCTGGGTCGTAGTACAATCCTTCGATATGTCCGTTTTCGCGGTTCAGCGAGATGTAATAGAACCCAGAGATCGTCAGGCCTTGTCGCGAGTCGGTCGGGGTGATGAAACATCGCTCTGGAACAGTCCGTCAGTACGCTCTTTCAAGGGCACAAACCCGAAGTACTAGTCCACTCACCCTTCCATCTCATCAGGATCCACCCTTTCGACAATGCCTCGGTGACCCATTTGCGACTGACTAGGTTCCGCGTCATTTCCTCATCGGTCAGGTTCTTGAATGGCTGAAGCTCTCGCCAGTACGTGCTGTCGATCTCGGCGTCGGCCTTGAAATTCTTCGTCTCCAGGGTATGTTTGTTGAAGTCAATGATCTCGCCCTCAAGATATGTGATAATATGAGCGTCATGGGACGGGGACGTCTTGTCGGGGATGTTGTAGGCTTCCATGGTGCCGGCCAAGGTCATGTCTTCGTGATTGATGTTGTGAATGGTAACCTTGACCGGCCAATTTTCATCCTTGACAGCTCCTATATTGTAGATATTGTTGGCCATGTATCGCCGACCCGTACTCGTGGACACGCTGATGCGGTTGGCATCACTGCTGTTAACGACAAGAGGATCGTGTGGTGATGACGGACTAGCTCGCTGTGTAAAGAACGCACCGGCACTGCTGGCAGCTCGTTGCGATCCAGAAAATATCACACCAGGCCGGAGCCAGGAGCATTCAGGCGGCGGTGCGATCGATGCAGTGTCGATGATAAAATCATCCTCGTTCCCATTAAGAAAGTCGAGGTGAACGAAACCTCCGGCGGCGGCTGACGACAAGCTTTCCTCGAACGAGGTCGAATAGCGTAACCGGTCCAGGTAGCGAATCGTCTCCTTTAACCGAGGGCTTGGAGCATTATCCATATGTAGCTGTCGATGAGCACTGATTCGAGCGCGAAGATCATTGTGTGTCAGCGGTCGGTGGGGTTCGCTGCGAATGCTGGGTAAGAATCGATATGCTCGTGAGGTGGAACTGGTGCCAGACCGTTCCCTCAGTTCCTCTGCTGCTTGACTTGCACGTTCTCGCTCAACCAAGTAATTCTGCAGAGTCCTGGTCCGTGGGGGGCGTGGTTGGCGGCGTATTGACTGCACCAAAGCGTCTGCCATGGTGTACGGTGATTCGTTCGAGGAACGATTGCTGTTCTCCGTGGGCTCTTCTGTCACTGTAGGTGGACTCCGACCGGCAGCCTCACGGCGTGGATCGCGAAAGGCAGTATATCGTTCCGAAAAGCGGCCAAACCAGGAAATGGCATTGCTATCATGTAGCGGCTCGTAGCTCATTTCCTCATCGTCGTCGTCGTCAGAAGCGGGCGCCCATCCGTAAAGCGAGCGCGGATTCGACATTCTGCCCTCATAGTTCGGCAGGCTGTTGGGATTGGAGGTCGTGCTGTGGTGGGTATTTGGACTGTCGCGCTGGCGGCGCACAATCGGGATGCGACGATTGCTTTCAATCCGCGGATTCGAGAAGTCCTCCGATTCGAACGGGGCGAGATCGAATTCCATCAAATTTTGCAGTCGACCACGGCGCTGGCGACTGAGGGAGGAAGATGAGTCGGGCGGGGAGCGCACACGCGATCGCAGAAAGCTCACGTTATCATCATGGGCGTCATCGGACACGGCGGCGGGGAGAGAGGGTACAGGAACGGGGACAGGCCGCAAGGAGGAAGCAGAAGAAGACTGGGAGGAGGGATCCTGTGTGCCGAAAGTTAGATTCTAGCCAAGAAAAGCTTCCTATCTGCAATAAGGATTGTATGATTAAGACTCCCATCTGTTATCACGATAGGGCCGGATGTCAACTGATGATAATGGCTGCTCAGTCATTGGTTGTATGCACGAGCGAGACGGCCAACGAACCGAGTCATGTACTGGACATCTCTCCATACCCAGGCAATAACAGACAATCAACCAGATCGCATAGAGACACACATACAGATGGCGAGTTGGCCGGGGGCATGATCTGTTAGAGTGACGAGAAGCAGGTGGTAGTGGAGTGGCGGCGAAAAGGCAGCCCGCCAGAAAGGGGAAAAGTTGGGTTGAGCCTCGAGCATGCACTGGGCGGGGTCGAGTCTTTTTTTCAACGCAGATTCCGGCAGTAGTGCTCCAAACTATGTCCTGGACAATGATCGAGGAAGGGAGCAATGACGCTGCAGTTGTGGGGGAGAGAGAGAGAGAGAGAGAAAGAAAGAAAGAGCGAGAGTTGTTTGTTGGAGATGAAGTCAGAGTCGAATGCGGAGCAAGTCGCAAAGCCGCCCGGAGTCACTGGATTGCCGTATCCGGTTCTTTTCTCTCTCTTTCCCCAACATTTGGGTTGGGCTTCTCCAATTCATTCCCCACTACATCTGTTCTTGACTTCTATCCACTCCATTCAGGGCTGGGTTCTACATTTATAATTCATCTGTCTGCACCAAGGCACAAGCCATGGAGCTGCATTATGACATACCTGGCGTTACCCCTCGTATCCACCGAGTCTCTCTCCGATCATCATCATCATCTGACTGATAGTCAAAACCCCCCTACTTACTCTCTCTGCTTCCACCTCCATGATCTCATGATCATATCTGATTCCAATTCCGTATCCAAAGCCGATATAACGATGGATGCAGATTATCTTTGAGGAGCTTCCACGGTTAAGCTTATCCTTGGACTAATGCAAGACAATAACCCACTTAGCACCCTAAGGGTAGCATATCACACTTCTAGATCTGATATGGATCTTCTGGCCGCTGAAGCCCAGAGCCTCGGATGCAATAATGCCAAGAACAGCACGAAATGACTATGGAGTCCCCATACCCCATTTGGGGTCAATTTGTCGGTAATTCGGCCTGGCAAGCGGAGCAACTCCGACCTCTCCTTACAGCCATACCTATTTCTGTTGTCATCTGCTTAACATTCAACTCTTTAGCAACTGCCTGAATCACAGCTTCACACATAGAGTCTGTTCAGACACAGAACTCACCATGGCAAAGATCAAGTCAATTGAGTACTTCCGCGTCCCTCCACGCTGGCTATTCGTCAAGGTGGTTGATGAAGATGGCAATTATGGCTGGGGTGAGAGCACCCTTGAAGGGCACACTGAGGCTGTGGAGGGCACTTTGAACGCCCTATGCAAGCGTTTTCAAGATTACGAGGCCGAGTAAGTCTCTTACAACAGCGCCAGCCCTGCATACCCTAACCGCCCCCCTTCCATAGTGACATCGAACACATTTGGCAAATGTCCTGGCGTTTAGGCTTCTATCGAGGCGGCCCAGTCTTCATGTCCGCCATTTCGGGAATTGATATCGCTCTCTGGGACCTGAAGGGCCGTCGACTCGGAGTCCCCATCCATCAACTTCTCGGCGGCAAAGTCCGCAACAAATTATCCGTCTACGCGTGGATTGGCGGCGACCGACCCTCTGATGTAGAAGCCGCCGGCAAGGCCCGTCTCGCCCAGGGGTTCAAGGCCATCAAAATGAACGCCACAGAGGACGTGAACTGGCTCGATTCCCCCAGCGTCCTAGACTCCAGCGTCGAGCGTCTGAAGACCGTCAAGGCCCTCGGCCTGGACGCCGCCCTAGACTTCCACGGCCGACTTCACAAGCCGATGGCGAAGCAGCTGGCCAAGGCACTTGAGCCGCATCGACCCTTATTCCTTGAGGAGCCGCTCCTTTCGGAACACCCCGAAGCGATCAAACAGCTCGCCGACCAGGTCTCGTGTCCGATCGCGCTTGGGGAGCGTTTGTACAGTCGCTGGGATGTGAAGCGCTTCTTAGAGGATGCGAGCGTGGACATTCTGCAGCCCGATATCGCCCACTGCGGTGGCATCTCGGAGCTGAGACGGATAGCTTCCATGGCGGAGACCTACGATGTTGCGATTGCGCCACATTGCCCGCTGGGGCCCATTGCCTTGAGCGCGTGCATGCAGGTTGACTTGGCGACGCCGAACTTTGTCATCCAGGAGATGAGTTTGGGCATGCACTCCAATACAGAGGCGGGAGAGTACGATATCACCAGCTACGTCAAGGATGCGGGTGTGTTCGCGGTAAAGGATGGATATGTAGACGCTCTCACGGCACCGGGGCTGGGGATTGAGGTTGATGAAGAGACGGTAAGACGAGTTGCTGCGAATGCAGAGCCCTGGCTGCCGAAGGAGTTCTATGGCTCTGATGGTGGAATCCGCGAATGGTAGTATGTCATAGATTGTGAAAAGAGGGAAAAAAAAACAGAATAGATCGATCGAAGTAGTTGAGGATACATCTCCAAATAACCGAAAGCTGCTCCCAATTGAAAATTCTATCGCGCAAAGAATCTAGCACCAGAATCTCTATGTCCATCTATATT